GTCTCCTCCACAGGAGCCATTCGTTGCTACGACACCGTTTCACTCAGCCAAAAACTGTCACTCCACCGTCACGCAAAGGTTTCCATCATCCTCCACGTCATCCTCTGGGATTCCTCTGCCACCGCGGCTTTCTCCTCACCGCCTAGGAGCAGCGGAGGCGGAACGCACTTGTTGTTTAGTAACGAAACGCTCGATTCGGCTGCGTTTTTGCGGCGTGGAGAGGGTTTGCCACCGCGACAGGTCGGTGACAGACAAGTGATGCCGTTGCAGGATGACGACGAGGATGTGTTCAGGTTTGAACGAGAGAATGTGGGTAATGCTTCGTTTAAGTTCCAAGAGATCCCTTTTACTAACGAGTCCTTGTGAGTTGTGATGAAGTCTCTGTGTTTTTTCTTCTTTTTTTCTTCTCTTCTTGTGTTATATTTTTGGGGGTGTGTGTTTATACGTGCATGTAAATATTTGAAACACATAAGAGATGAACTAAGGTTAGTTATTATTTAGTTTGTTCCCGTGATGCTTGTTTAATATCATCGCTCGATTATTCTAACAAATTCCAAACTTCTGTTTCCTTTTTCTCATATTTGCGAGAAAGCATGCACACTACAAGGAACCCATTTATGAAGTTATACGGAATATTTTTTTGCTATGAAGATTTTCTTCAAAACAATTCTTACTTTTATAGGTTGAGATATAAAGTTCAATTTTTTCACTTCAATTTTAACTATAGTTAGCCACTGTTAAAAAATTCTTCCACATGTTTTAGGATTAGGAATTAGTTTGGTCTCGATCTTGGTTCTCTCCTGGTTTGATATTAAAGTTGACTAAACGATGGAGTTTTTCGACTAGCCAAAAAATGGGAAAAAAATGCTAGGCTATATTCGACAGTCTCAAAACCGGTTGAGAGTATTTAGTTAAAGAAATCTAGCTAATTATCAGAAGTAAGCTAGCCGGCCTTGGTCGTTTGGTCCTGAATCCTGAAGCTTATCTCTCCACGTGGTCTAGGTACTTTTAACCTCAACTTAGCTCATCTAACTGTCTGATCCTTTGATTCACATCTTTTTCTCCGCTTGCTTCAAAAGAGTTTCGTAAAATAATGTCTTATCAAGGGAAGAAAGAAGGATGATTAAAAATGATAATAAGTTTGATGGGCTTTCTATCTAACGCAATGCAGAACAACAACTTATGGTGGGCTCTCTATCTATAAGTGTTGGGTTATGAATTATAGATCTGCAAGCTAATTTGGATTTTTTTTATTTTTGTTTCAAACGAATGTCAAGCTTAAAACATTTTTGAAAATCAACGTAAAGTATTTCGAGAAATTATTAGAATAGTTTAATATGATGCTTTAAGGGTGTAGTTTCTTTGAAGATTTTGAAAGAAATGATGAATTAGAAAACCATATAAAATTGAAAATAATAAAATAGGGGATTGTTAACTCTTGTAATTGGAAGTGACAACTAATAACATCTTTTCTGAAAGCACGCCGAAGATTTTATTATTTTTGTTTAAAAGGTTCCCATGATGGGTACTGTACTGCAATTCGCAAATATTGTCAATATGTCATGATAAGTTTTTTTAATAAAACAAATACAATAAGCATTTAATATGATTACTTGTAAGTTGTAACCAAATTTCACCAGAAATGATCATGCGATATCAGCACCACCACCTAATAATAATGATATATATTACATGGTATTTTCTTTTTCGAAGTATGATTAACATTCACACGGACAAAATAATGGGTTTACATTTTGATTTGTATAAAATGTAAAAGTAAAAAATGAGTAGAAAATAATTTAATTTCCTGACAAACGTATAGTAAAAGTGAAGAGTAACACCTGATCTAACGTATTCCATCCAATTTAAGTTTTCACAATTTTCATTTATAGTATGTTTAAGTAGAAAACCTGCGTACTAAGAAAATTTTGCTTAGGGAAACTTTTGTTTCTCTTTTGATTTATGGAAATTTCTTGGGTTCAATTAAATATATAAATCAAGTCGTCTTTAGTAAAAGTACTCCTTATGTTCCCTTATTGTTTCAGAAAAAAAAATTATTTAACTATTTATTTTTAAATTTTTTTTATAATTCGTATTTACGTTTTGCCCGTGAGTTGTAAGGAAAATAGTTAGGTCAAAATGCCGACCACAATTATAAATGAAAATATATAAAAGTAATATGAAAGTATGAAACCAATATTTTGTCTATTCTTGATATAATAATCAAGGTAATATTTTTCTTTATTACAAAAGAAAATAAAGTAAAGTCGCAGAGGAAATGTACATCGAGCACATCACTAAAGTTTTTTTTTAATTTACATAAAACACTTATTTAACGATTAATAAATGGTTCGATCTTATCTAAACTCCAAGTTATTTAATTAATATTATTTTTTTCGCATTAGATGTGCATTTCGGTCAATGACTCAATGCTTCGTGGTCCCAAATAAAATTGTGTTTAAAATAATTTTACTATTCATGATTGCTTCAAGTTTCTGTAAACTAAATATTTGTAGTTTCATCAAACGTTTATAAAGAATAAAGGTGAAAATATTTTAAAACAAGGTCTATACTTGAAAACAACTAAATTTAAGTTACTACAGCTAAGCGTTAACTTTGATTTGTTTTTCTAAATATTTTTGTCTTTATTTTGGGTGACGTACTGTAGTAACATTTCGAAATTTGTACAAACCAAAACAAGTTTGACATTTTTCTTTTTGCCCTGTAAAAAAAAGGTTTTGATTATAAAAAATTACTAAATTTTTTGAAATGGGCATAAATTAGTTGGGTAGCTATTATTGCGACAAAGACTTTCGGAAATGTAAAAGGAAAGAAATGAATGTAAAGCAAACACACAAAAAAAAAAAATTAATATCTTAAAAAGGGTTGCAAAGATAAGATACAAATAAAAGTTAAAAAAGACCTTTGGATTCCCACAAATACACGAAGCAAAAGAAAATAGTTAGGGTGAAAGTTTTTAATCATGACATATGATTATATATATTCGAATGAAAAATAAATTTTAGGTTTATTTTTTATGAAGATTGATTTTTTCTGTCTTATATTTTAATTTTTAAATGTTCTTAATATGTTTAAATTTTAGGAATCAATCTTCATGAAACAAACGAAATATTATATGTCTCTTCTTTAAATTTTTTGCATTATACTATTATCTATGTACTTTATAAAGTATTCAACATATATTTTATATCTTCGTAGCCTAGAGAGTAAAACTACAATTTATTAAGAAGTCTATAACTGTGAGAAAAAAATAAACCCAAATACAAATTCTATAACTGTAAAATAACCAGAAAGATTGATATTTTCTAAAATACTAGTGAATTAGACAACTAGGTAGTTACCTTATTTATGATAACCATTCTTTGGTGATCTATAGACAGTATGTTTTACTTTACACTTTTTCGGTATTATTACCTTACACAGTTGATGGTATTTGTTAACAAAAATATTTACTAACAGTTACGAAATAATATATTGAAGAGAATAATGTTTTTTCTTTAACACCAGAATGAAATTCATTCATAAACTATGGTGATTTAAACACGTTTATATATTTTGCTAATCAATTTAGAATCAACGAGCTAATACGGAAAAAAACTGAAGTTTGAGCATATTCGTAAGGTAATCATCACGTTCACTATTCACATCACGAACGTGAGGAATGTAAGACAAAGAAAGTTTATTTAAAAAAAAAAAAAAAAGACAAAGAAAGTTTAGTGAGTTGAGAACGAGTGCTTGAAAATTGATCAAAACCTGAATTGAAAGCCAGTCATTCTTCTTCTTCATCGATTATTTTAACTAATTACGCGCAGTTCATTTCGAATACTATTGAAATACGTTTTGCCAAATGCATTTTATTGACCACATAAACATTTCAAACTCAACAGGTTAAAAAGCATAGAATTAGAACATGCTGACTTCCTTTTAAGTCAACTAGCTTATGATAATTTTCGATAAGCATGTATAAAACCACATCCAAACCAGTGATTATCTCGCTGCTATGATTTGTCGATTTGACACCATTGGATACTTGTAATAACGAGAAAACAATCAGATTGAAGATGTAAAAACTTAATAATATATGTATATCTATTTCCAGAAATGTATCATAATATAGTCATCAACTAAATACTATAATAACAAAGTAGCATAATAATCTAATATTTGAGTTGAAGAATCATAAAAGGTTAGAAACTAGTCTTTTTAGATTAACAATTTTTTGATGTTTCTAAATTATATTAATAACATGTATATAACGATATTATTTGTTAAAAATTAAAGACTCGAAAAATTAGTAAAACGATGAAAAAAATCATATTCTTAAAAAGTGAGAGCGTGAACAAAGCTTATATTTTTCATATACCCGAAAAAAAATTGTTGTGAAAGCATAAGTGGGGACAAGATTTAGATGCTGAATTTTTTTTAATATTCTTTTCTTCACATCATTTGATTTCTTTATTATTGTATATGAGTTTTGGTAGTTTAGTTACATATATTGATATATGTAGTTATGAGATTAAGATTTGATATGTTATTGCTGGCCCCATGTAATTGTCATTCTTGCCTCTGGACTTCTTTAATTGTTAGTGTTAAATTATTTTCAGTATTTGTAAATTATTCATCATTTTAGACTTTTCGTAGCCTAGTTTTCTTGTTCTTTACTCCAAAGCCGGATTAATTAATCAAAGAAAATGTATATTTAACTGGAAAAATGAAAATTTATTTAGAAATAATATAAAAATCCACGGCACAAAAAAAAATTTAAGATAAAACGATATATAATTGTCTTCTTTTTAAACAAATGAATTTTGTATACCCACTTTAGTTTTTGTCAGCTATACTATTTATTATTTTATTACCTTTTTATTATATTAATCCCCTCCATCGGATTCCAGCTAAAAACACGAATATCTATATATTCCAAAAACATTTAATATATAACTCCATTTTGAGTTACTCCTTTTCACCATTATTTTATTATATTCAGTATTTAAATAAAATGGACAAACATGGAAAAAGTTACGTTGGAAATTAGCTGAACGCATGAAATCTTACAATATAAATAAACTCACTATAAAAAAAAATAGAGATACCATTATTTAATGCCAATATTTCCAAAATCAAAAACCTGATTTCGATTTAAAAAAAAAATCTCATAAAAAAAATCAAAATCACATAGCATTAATAAATCTAATTTCCCTCACTTTCTTATCCAACATTTTCCTAAAATTCCAAGCTTTGTTCATAGCAATATATTTTATTTTCTTCTTAAAACAACTCCTTTGTCCTTATATTTTCAGTTTGATTATCTTGTTCTAGATCTTAATAAAATTTCTTTGGTAGTATTTTTTTTTCCAGTTTTTTCCAAAATCTCGCCTTTGTTTATCTTTAATTAAAAGTTAAAACCCAAAATCTGCATGGGTTATTGAAAAATAGTAGGAAAACAAAGCTAATGGTTTTAGATATGGAGTCTACCGGGGAAGTTGTTAAGTCAACCACCGGGAACGGCGGCGGTATCACGGTGGTTGGATCCGACGCGCCGTCAGATTTCCACATAGCTCCGAGATCAGAAAGCTCAAATCCATCTCATAACGCCGTCGCTCCTCCTCCACCACAGTCTCATCACATAAATCAGCTCGGCGAAGTAGCTCCGCCGCCGAAAATTTCAACGGCGACAACGACGGAAGCTATATCCGGCGGAACGATGAAGAAGAAGCGTGGCCGGCCTAGGAAGTACGGACCAGACGGAACAGTTGTGGCGTTATCTCCGAAGCCGATTTCATCAGCGCCGGCGCCGCCGCATCATCCGCCGGCGAGTTCACACGTCATCGATTTCTCCGCCTCTGAAAAACGCGGCAAAGTGAAACCAACGAACTCTTTTAACAGAACAAAATATCATCACCAAGTCGAGAATTTGGGTAAATCTTTCTTTGCTCTGGTTTTTTTTTTTTTTTTTTTGGTTAATTGCTCTGTTTCGAACTTTCGATAAAATTTTAGTATAAAACTGAAAATATATTTTTACAATTTTCGTTGGAATCTAGTTTCGTAGACCAATCTAACTCTCGTGACTAATAATTGTTTATTTTTGGAGGCATTCTGGGTTAATTTTGGGGATTTTATGCATGCTTTTATTTAAGTGGGGTCTCTTAACATATAAACACAACTCCTAGTTTTTGTATCTATGTTTAATTTGTCTATGTGACTACAAATATCTACACTTGTTTAAGGTAAAATAAAGCTTAATTTAGTAACAATTTTAGACATTTGAAATTAGAGATTTCTAATTTCTACTGCGAATATACAACTCGGTTACTAGCAAATGCCATGATTAATTTAGGCTCGGTTACAAAAAAAATGAAAATGAAAAAAGAGAAATAAACACTTACAAAGTTTTGGCTCTTGTTTGTTGTGTTTTGTGTTTTTTGTAGGTGAATGGGTTCCTTGCTCCGTCGGTGGTAACTTCACGCCTCATGTAATCACGGTCAACGCCGGCGAGGTAACCTGATCGGAACTATTTTGTGGTTTCCTTCTTGTTTTTGGTAATAATAATCTTAAACCGAGTTTTGAGTGATATAATATGATTCTGGTTCGATTAGGATGTAACAATGAAGATAATCTCGTTTTCGCAACAAGGACCTCGTGCCATTTGCGTTTTATCAGCAAACGGTGTCATTTCAAGCGTAACGCTTCGTCAGCCCGATTCCTCTGGTGGCACATTGACATACGAAGTATGTAATAATATTTCGCTCTCATCGATCACATTTCTGTTGATGATTTAAGACAAGTCTCTTGATGATTTATAGTGTTTTTTCAGGGTCGGTTTGAGATATTATCATTGACCGGGTCATTCATGCCTAACGATATAGGCGGAACTCGGAGTAGAACCGGAGGAATGAGCGTATCGCTAGCAAGTCCGGATGGACGTGTAGTAGGTGGTGGGGTTGCTGGTTTACTAGTAGCCGCGAGTCCGGTTCAGGTTTAACCATTTTTTAACTAACCAATTTTCTGAATTTCGGGTTCCAAAAGAAACCTAAACCAGAGAGTTACGTGTGTTTGAATCAACAGGTGGTTGTAGGAAGTTTTTTGGCCGGGACTGACCAGCAGGATCAGATACCGAAAAAGAACAAACACGATTTTGTGTTGTCGAGTCCAACCGCTGCGATTCCGATCTCTAGTTCAGCTGATCACCGGACAATCAATTCGGCATTGCCTCTTCCGATCAGTAGTAGTACGTGGCAGACTTCTTTAGCTTCTGATCCAAGAAACAATTCTTCCGATATTAACGTTAATTTAACTTGAAAAAAGCCACTCTTCCTCTGTATTTTCGGTCATTGAGTTTGTTTTGGTTGATCCACATTAGGGTTCTACTATAAACTGGTAGCTTATTATTTAGGGTTTCTAGGGTCTTATGTTGGTTCCCTTGTTGTCGCATGTAGGATTATGTCTAATATCATCTTGTTTATTCGAATTGAATCATCTTGTTTCCTTATAATTTTGTTGAAACCGGTCATCGTTCCGGTTTTATTGGTTAATATTGTAACATACACGTATCGGTTCTCCATTCGGTCTGTAGTTCAACCGGTTTAAATCTCTCTCTAAACCAGAAAAGAAAAACAAGACTACCTAAATCTTAGTGAAAAAACACTATAATTTGTATTTGATAATCCATTTGGATTCGATGTTCGGTTATATATAACTTGTCCCATGAACCAAAACCTGTGTCACTAAACTGAGAACGTAACCGGTACAAAAACATATTGACTTTCATAGCCGAGTTGGCTTGGACAACAGTTTCATGGTAAACAAAAAACATCACTCGATTTTACTTGGAAGAAGGTTCTTGATCTGGCTTCGCTTGTTTCAAGCGACACAAGGTCATAAACTTAGCGTAGGTAGAAGTTTAAGAACCCTAAAATCTAAGGCTCAAGAGTGGCCAAAAATACTTCCCACTTTACCACGAGTCTAGCTTCAATGCGAACAAGAAGATAATGTCGTTTTAGCAACAAGGACCTCGTGCCATTTGCGTATTACTAGCAAACGGTGTCACCTCACGCGTAACGCATTATAATCACACAAGCCATCTTAATCAATCCCAATTTTAATCGTTCAATTCGGGGAAATCTATGATCTTGCACAAAGAAACCAAACGATTTCAAACGACACACTAAACAATACTGAATAAGCTACACATGAATTCAACAACTGGGGCTTAACCTAAATTCTCACACCAAAATTCAAAAAGATTCTTTCATAATCTAGGGCCCCAAAAAAAGCAATGCAATTTCTAACATAAGTTACTGAAGTTAATTTTATTAGATTCAAAAAACTTAAATTATTTATCATCGCCGTTACGATTTGTGTAACGAACTAAAAAGAAATGCCACAACGTAGAAAAAACAACAAAAATCATAAAAATGTAAAACTAGATTACAGATTTGTCGCGTGGTCAACAAAATCCATTACAAATCCGTTCTTAAAATGTATAAAGTTCTTTTTTTGGTGAAGTCCGATATGAATTCTCCAACCTTAGATATCTCCCAGTGCCGAGTGTATCAACCTTAAAACAGAAAGTGTTAGAAATGATAATTAAGATTGAGCTTGGTAAACAAAACATATGAAGATATGAAAATTACTTAGTGATTTAAGATAAAGAGATGTACCAATAAGATGTGATAAAAATGCAGAGAGAGATATGACCAATCTTGTAAAATCGTTTCTTTTGTTCCCATTTATTTGTATTGTGCATCTCTGTCACGTCCGCCAAATGTTCCCTTTTCATGTATCTTTAACCGGAAATAACAGAGAGAAAATATAGATTTAAACCGGTTTCGTTGAAGTTAAATTCGAAAGTCGACCAATATGATGATGAGTGAATATTTTACTTACAGTCTAATGTTGTATAAAAGGTGAGGAAGAGACAAAACCGCCATGAACCAATGTCTAGTTAAGACGTAGTATAAGCAAAGAAGTGCTTGCAAACCAAATTCCGGTAGAACCACCCGGTTTATTTTGGTAGATGAATCATAAGGGTTTATGTGATCAGCCTCTAGATCCGCCAAACATGTCAGCTGCATTAAAAAAAAAAACCATTACTTTGTTTACAAATTTTATATTTCCCTGAGTAAAAAAAGAGAAGTATTAAATGATCCAAACTTCAAACCCAGAAAAACTAAGCAAAAATCCAATAACATTACGAAGAACAAAATATATTACTTGTTTTGTTTAATTTACGAATGAGTTTTAATTATTTTATAAAACCAAACAAAATTATTAGGAGAAGAACCTGATAAATAACGATGATGAGAAGGGTAACGAGGAATAAGAAAGAGAGAATCCAATCGAGTAAATCGCCCATCCTCCGCCGTTTTCCGCCACGCCGTGACGTTCAATTTCCGTCGTCGCCGCCGCCTTGCTCTGTCTCTCTATCGTCGAAACACGGACGACGTTTTGGTCAAAGCTTTGGGAATTGCACGTATAATTCTGATATTAACCACGGAATATATAAGAAATTGTTTTTTATAAAAACTATTAAAATCCCACTGGATCTGGTTGGATAAAGCTACTTATATATGCTTCTGATGCAAATTGATAAATATGATATTTCACATTTAAAGCATATTTTGGATGTTTGACATTAGCCTCAACTCCCAATCCCAATTGATATGGGTTGACTTTAATAATTTTATTTTGTTTACATTCTTTACGATTAAATCGATTTGTAAGCAGGTAACCAGTAACCAATGATCGTGCTGATTACGTGCTTGAGATGCATATTATTAGTCCAAGAACGTTACTACTTCTTTAATTTTTTTCATCCACAAACTAATTTTTCATTTTTTCTATATCATTGGAGTCCATTGCCGTAAAATCGCATATATTAATGTAAATTTGGTAGTTCAAGTTTTTTAAAGAACAATAATAAAGTCATGTGAATGCTACTCAAATTCAAATAACTGCGAGTTTTTTTTTTTTTTTTTGTTACTCTTCCAATGGCTTGATTTCATATAAAATGCATATATTTGTTAGCTTAAATTTATTTTATTTTGGGCGGTGGTCCTACATGAACTGAGTCAACCGACAAAGCTTGGCTTCTTTGAATAGAAGTATCATAAGAATATCCTTTATTAAAAAGGATATCCTTTTCTTAAAATAATGGGATTTTCTTAAAAATCCTTAAAATAATACTGTGCTTATACGTTATAGGTTGGAAAAAAAATGTATATAAGCATAGGGAATTTATTTATTTTATAAGAAGAAGTGAATATGATAGATTGCAGTTAGCCAGTTAGGTAAGATTGGAAATTACCCCAATACCAAACTGAACCGGACCATCAATTAGAATCGAATTATGTCCGTTTTACTTCAGCAGGTTCTTTTAAAATGGCAAAATTCTTAAGTACAATAGAACAAACCAGAGTAATAAACCCAACTAAAAAGATGATCACCATTACACATACAAGTAAATACCCAACCAAAGTTGGGTGGGTCTCCCAAACTAAAGTAACCCAAAACCTAAACTTACATGTTTTTCTGTCAGAAGTCTACTAATGAAACAATATTCTGTTTACAGTTCGAATTTCATATAAAAACGAAGAAACTCGACTCAGAATTGAGCACACTGACAAATATACCTATACTATAGCGTATAGGTATTGTTTGTGATGTAAGTTATTAAGTAAACAAATCTAAACAAAGTAAGTGTATAACTAAATATTCTATCAAATTCGAGCTAGCACAAGTAAATATTATGTGCCGCTCAATGTGTATACCAGTTTTTTATTTTCATTGTACACATACCAAGATGTTCCATATCTTCTTTGTCCTCCTCACGATTCTCCCAATCTTCTGCGCGATAAACGATTCGATCATATTCGACGACTGAATGCTCCTTACCGAAATCCGGTTTTCCGGTTCCCTCTTTCTCATGTAGAAGCTTCTACTGCCTATTTCACCAATTACTTCGGTTTTCTCCAAACCTGTAGATTGGTAAAATCCAAAACCCAAGAGTTAAACTCTGTGCACATAGCCACATTTAACATATATAAGAGACAAATGCCTTGTCTGTTTCTTAACCATTTAACCAGACCAAATTGAGTTGTGGAGCTTACATTGGATGCTGAAGTGAGACTGATGCAGCTCAAAGGCAAGATCTTTATCGAGTTTCGGTGTTCGTCCTTCTTTACGATACTTGTCCACAACCATCTTCATCGTTTCTTCGACATTACAACTCAGTCTAACCAAAGTCTTTACTGGTCCTGGACTTCCTTCTACTGATACACTGATCACAACTTTTGCTGCTTCTCTCTTGTAAACCTGATTTTCAAAATACAAGAAACAAAACCATGGAAATTCAGAATCTTTTTCATCAGATTGCGTGGGTACAAGTTCCAAGACAATGGTCGAAATTCAATGGAATAAATTTAGAAAATAGTGAAACACATGGGTTAATTTGTAAATTTTTAATTTTTTGGGTCGAATACTATACACTTTGAGACCTAAAGGACAGAATAAGTAATTAATCATAATCTCTAAAATAGTGAAATTGATGGGTTAAATTGTAACATTTTAAATATTTGGATCTTATAGTATAAACTTTGGGACAATAAGGACGAAATAAAGTAACATCATTTAATGATTACCTGTTTGTAAATCGGAGAAGACGACGACGACGGCGAAGAGAATCCAGTTAACGACGGAGCTGAAGCAAAAACCTCCAAATGGATCTTGGAGAGGTAGATGATCGGCTCGGGTTCCTCCGCCGGGAGATCAATCACCGGCGTAGAGCAACGTCGATCATCATCATCTTCACAAGCGATGCTTTGGTGGAGATTCGGCTCCGAGAAACTTCGATTGAGTATCTTAGTAGATTTTGAACGAATCTTAGTGAAGATACGACGAGAGACTTGGTGCTTCGCCGTGCGTCTGGTCCTGGAGCTCCGGCCTCGGCTTAAGTCCGATGCCGTGATTCTTCTCCGGTGAAAATCTGACATTTTTTGCAGAGAGAAGAAGAAGAAGTTAAGGATTTAGGGATTCTCTATGCTTTTCCGTTTCTCTATTCTTTTCTTTGCCTTCTTAAATTTTTTTTTTTGCTAATTGCTTTCAAATTATTTTGCAAGAGAAATAAAAAAGTTTTCACAAGCCTGGCTCAATAGTTAGAGCCATAAAAAAACCAACAGTCCATTAACGAAAAAAAGCCCAATTAGAAACCCCAATGTTAAGATTTTACTTCAAAGTTGAAAAAACCCCCAATATTAAAGTTAAAGTCAATTTCATAGCATTTAATTTCAGACCGACCAGAAAAAGAGAGTCATATTTTTTCCCTCTTCTTACGAGAATCAATCTTGAGAAAGGGTTAATATCTACTCCTTAGTTAGTTTTATATTATTTTATTGTAGTGTATTAAAAATATTTGTTTACTATTGTTGTCGTGTTATAAGATTTGTATCATAAATTAACACTGTATGATATAGCTTTTGTCCAGGGTTCACCAAGTTTTAGAAAACAATGTTGATGGCTTACTTGTTGAGAAGTCGCTGGAGAAACTGAGTCTAGAGCAAGTAGTAGCCAAACAACTAAAGATGTGAACTAAGACCATCTTTAACGCGGTCTCTGGGCCGTCTCTTAAGCATTATTTTGAATTAAAAATATTGGTTTGAACCCAAATGAAGTAGAGACGTTTTTTCATTAGAGACGAGAGAAAACGTCTTTTATTCCACGTGTGAAAGTGTGATTGGTCATAAAAATTTGGAGAGAAAATCCATTTGTTTTGTGTTTTATTTTTTTTGGTCGATATTTTTGTTTCTCGAGTCTTCGTCGTTTGATCCGTCAAAGGTGATGTGCTGTTTGTCCGACGCCGTTTCACCGTGATTTGGGGTTCCACCGGCGGCTTCTGAATCCTCTGGCATCGGAGTATCAGAAATCAGTAACGGCGACGAAAAATAGTAATTTCTTCTCTCTCTGCTTCTTCTTCTTCCTCACGAACTCCGCTTGACTCCATTTGTGATGTCTGCATTGAGTTTCTGCATTGCACCATCCAAATTGTATAAGTCTCATAAGTAAGTTTCTAACCCAATTATAATATTAAAATACTAAATAAGAGACCTATGAGGGTTTTTGGGTTGCTGATGCTCTAAGAACACCTCCATCTGAGTTTGGAGTTGTTAATTTTATTTTATTAATATTTTTGTAATTTTAGAACAGTAATAAATATTTATTTTATTAAAAAAAATTTCTGCGGCCAATCAGATGCGAACACATCTCCTATAAACCCCTCAACTCAGGTTGTTAACTAAGAGCATGTACATCAATGAACTCCTAAGAGAGGGGTTCACCAGAATATAATAATATTTTTTTTTGTTTTAGTTTTTCTGTTTTATTTAATTCGAAAATTATAATTTTCGATCAATCAGAATGCTCCATTTCGGGATAATACCGTCTGTTCAGGTTCGTCGGGATGATACTGTTTCTTCAAGATTAAGCTCTTTTGTCTAAAAAACTGTACCATGAACCCCTCTTGATCCCTTAATGTACATGCTCTAAAAAACTGGATGCTAATATTTGGATATTTTTTATTTATTTTTAAATCAAGATACATATGTTTTTGTGCCAATATCTTTCAATAGAGCTCACCAAACCAGTAAAGCGTAAGGTCTCTAGTTTACGCATGTTTAAGTATATATGAGTATGGATGTTGATGTGGCAAATTTTCTGTCGAATAAATAACTAATAATAAATAAATAAAACATGAAAACCAATAAACTAAGAGTCCCATCACACTTGATGCACTCTCATTTCGCGTGCTTTCATATTTCATTGTTTTCTTTTTTTTTTTTTTCTTTTTATGTAACGGTTTTAGATTTTTTTTTTTGTTGAGAAATGACGGTTTTAGATTCTTTACGTGGTAGCATTTTCTTTTGGTTTTTTTTAACTGTAAAATAACAAGAAAATTAATTTTTTACCAGGGGATTATTTTAACGGTTTTAGATTCTTGAACCGTTACAATAATCTCCGCTTAATAAATTACTAATTCTCAAATAAAAAACCAATTTTATTGTTATTAAAATCGTTTATCGCGAAAAGAAAATCATACTCTTTCTGATTCAAAATAGATAATGATTAAGTTTTTTTACAAACATATTAAAAAATTATTGATATTTTTCTCTAAACTAAAACATTATTTATTTTCTGCATAAACATATCTAATTTAAAACAATTTTTTTCTTAAGATCTAAGTTTTTATTGAATAGAAATACCAATTTTTGGCTTTGTTAATTTCTCTTACACTTACTAAACATGTAATTGAAAATACCGGTATAAGGCTTAATGTTACTTATATATTTGATATATATATAAGTATTTAGTATAAAGTTTAAGTGACAAAAATATTAGTATTTAGTAGCCATTATTATTATTATGTTTATGAATTTTCTATAAATTTTATAAAATGACTATCAATATAAAATTATATATACATTTATAATCCGGTCAGAATAGTTTTCTTCCTTTTTATTTAAAATAAAAACTATGCAAACTTAAGACTTTTTTTCTATTTATAATGTCAATCTTTACTTTAACTTTATCTTTGGTTTTTAATCATATATAGTTGAGTGAATTGGGATAAAGGAGTGGTGAAATGGAATAGTGACACGCCAATGATTTGAAAGCGTCGAATCATATCGAGTTCATAGGTCTACCAATATTTGATCTCTGTCAAATCCAAATCATTATATAATAGGTATGTCATATTTGCGGATTTTAACTTGGCTCGCTTTATCTCGAGCACCAACTAGTATTTTTAGCATATATATATTGGGGCATATAAAATATAAGATTTTATAAATGGGAGCACTAACACTAATCTTTAATAAATTACACTAATTTTTTTAAATTTATTGGGGGCAAATGACCCCGACTTAATATATGTGGCTCCGCCACTATATATATTAATATATAGTTATATATATAATATATAAATTCAAAATGGTTTATCTTTATTAATAAAACAAAAAAATAGACGAAAAACGGTTTGGATTGAATAAACATCAAAGTTCAAATTAGTTAACCATCTGTATCAATTTTCAAGAGTGCATATTCTAGCTTCTTATATATATAATTTAAGTTTTGCATTATTAATCAACATGCATTAGTATCATATAACAAAAAATCTATAAATTAGTAATATGATTTTGAACTGAGCCCGGTTTAACATATAACATAACTCGATGAGACATTAATAATTATAATGAAATTTATATAATATATATATATTTTGTTTATACTGTATAGTTCTAACATTATTAATTCTAATAATTCTAATCTATATTTTTTCCTTAAATGGATTTTTTTCTCCATTTCGTTAATATTTAAATAATAAAAAAATTTACTTTGTTTAGCGGAAAGCTATAACAAACTAGAATTTCTTTTTAAATTTTTTTTTCTGGTCTCTAGAAAATTCTTTTAATCAAGAAGGAACTAATAAAACTTTTTTCGTCTACAAGAAATCCTTAAAACCAAAATTATATAACAATGAGTAATCCAAATATTAACATTGGTTTAATTCTTTTCGATAAATAATATTGTCGATTAGCTAAATAAGATTTGATTAAATAATTTTACGTTTGCGGATAATCATTTCCTAGCCGAAACCAATATGGTATCTCCTTCACAAATGAAAAGGACACTATCATTTATTTTTTGTTTAAATCATTTGAAATATAATCAATTACAAATTATGAGAACAAATATATTAACGTTTTTACGAGGAATAATTCTATTGATCGATAAAAATCTATGATGAACGGTCTATCTGCACTATGTTTGTGAAGGAACAATCTATCCTTGACACGCTGGACTACTACGAGTTACTATGCTTGTAGTTGTAATGCACCTTAGAGTGAGAGAGACATATATTAAGTTGAAGTCATTTGCCCCAATGAATTTTTAAAAAATTGGTATAACTTATTAAAATCCATTATTAATGCCTCTACTCATAAAGTCATGAGATAATTACACTTAAAGTCACTTTTATAACTCATATAATAAAAAAAGTAACTTTCAGCTATTGGGTAATTTATTTTACAGTTTACACCTATATAACCTGAAATTGGCCCTTATGGATACGATAAGGTGGATTGGATTTGAAGAAATAGATAACAGATTAAACACAGATTTTAAAAATAATAATTTTTTTTTCTCATTTATTTTATTTTTTGTATTTTTCTGTATTGTAAAAGACATAAAACAATTTTTTCTTTTGTTAGAATGAGTTATAATTTTATTTTCTCATTGTTTTAAGACCCATTATACTATAGTTTATTTATTAAACAATAAAATTTTCAAAAACACATGTATAATTTTTTAACAAAAATCAGAAGTATAGGTAGATATCCACTCAGATAGTATGATGTGGGTGATGTATAATAGATATACAACATTGACATGATTGCGTGGATATGTTTTCGTTGATATATTCGACATGGATATATATTTACATTGTCCATAAGGTGGACGTGGATCATATGGATAGGTTATGAACAATGTAAAATGTATATCTATGTCGAATATATCAATGAAAACATATCCACGCAATCATGTCCATGTTATATATCCACTATGCATCATACATATCATATTTTCTGATTGGATATCTCAATGAAAACATATCCACTCAATCAAATCCATGTTATATGTTCATTATGCATCATCCACATCATATTTTTTGAATGGATATCTGTCTAGACTTCTAATTTTAAAACAAAAATTTATACATGTGTTTTTGAAAAGTTTCTTATTTGATAAATAAACTATAATATAATAGGTCTTAAAACAATGAGAAAATGAAATTATAACTCATTGTAACAAAAAAATTTATTTTATGTTTTTCACAATACAAAAAAATATAAAACAAAAATAAATGGCCAAAAAAATTATTATTTTGGAAATCTGAGTTTAATTTGTTATCCAGTAGTTCACATCCACCTTATCGTATTCACGAGGTATAATTTCGGATTAACAAAAAAATAAGTTATCCAATAGTTATAAATGATTCTTTTGTAAGAATAAAACTAGTAAATGTTTTTCAACGTAAATAACTCTAAAATCATATATATATATATGTCCTTATTCATTTATTTATATTCTCAATGAAAAAAATTCTAACTCCACCATTGGCACTTTAGAAACATTAGTGAACATTTAATCAATCACTAAATGGACTAGACCGAGGAGACTTTCATAAACACCACCGTTTAGTTTAATTTTCAAAAATTTTACAGTAAATAATTGACAATTTGACAGTCGAAGTGGCCTCATTTGACTATTTTTAATTATGAGTAGAGTAAAATTGTAGTTTTGCATGCGTAATAGAGAATCTTTTTAGCCGCAAAGATAAATATGGATTATTACGTTAATCAACACCTTTAGTCCGACTAATGATTTGCTTGGTTGGGTTGAACACTTGAAATTATAAAATTAGCGTGACGAAACAAATAATCATTAAAAGGGAATTTTCATCGAACTTAATAATTAGTTATCTCAATATAACAACAAAGAACAACAAAAAACTTAAGACTTATTAAGTTATTATCATGGATACAATTACAGGCCTGCATGGCTGTTCAAATCTTGTTTTTTAGAATTTGTTTAATTTTGTTTATATCAAGCCACTTTTTTCCCTAAAAAAGAATTACGGATGTTAAAATAGGTGACAAAACTATAATAATTGAAAATACGCCCAACCCTTTTTTCTGTTGGGTTTAATACGTTCAATTATTAAAATCATTTTTGGTATTACTAAAAATATAAATTTCTTTTCTGTAAAATGTATCTGTTAATATATAATTTAAAATAGCCAATTATGAAAAATAATTGGTCAACTGTATCCAACCAAAAATAAAAACCTAAAACACCTCATATTATGGAACAAAGAAGTTTTTTTTTTGTTTTTTTCAAATTTATGTTAAAACCACAAGAGAAATTTAGAACTCTTATAATTTTGTCCAAAAAAGTTAGAACTCTTTCTACAGCTAAAATAGAATATTTAAAAAGATCTCCTCACTTTGTGCCTCTTTGCAAAATGTTATGAAAATAATTTCTTAAATGATTAAAAAACAATGGATAAAAAACTGAACTTATGAACATGTAAATGTTGTTTACCTTGAAAGTCTGTCACTATACGTATACAGTACACTTATATACATAAAAATAAAAATAGATACAATCATACAGATATTGAATCCTGGATGTTTTATTTTTATTCAATAGAAACTTTTTGTTATTGAAGAAATTATATATGTTTTAACTAATACCATCGATATCAATTCTAATATATATCTAAACTCCTCCTCTCTTGTCTCCATATTAATGTAGATTACGCAAGTCCGAATCAGAAACATTGTCAATAATTCTCTTGACTGGCTACAGCTTTAATAATGACTGATATGTATAAACATAGTCAATTATTCTAATGAATGGAGGAAATAGCTGTGTTGAGCTAAAATAACGTAATAACATTTAAAAGTCTCAAATTTATTATATACAGTCGAGGCAAATGAACGACCACTGTTTTAAGTAAAACTGGTTTAATTTTTTTTCGTAATTCTAATTTTGTTTCTTAATATATATAAACTCGCTTTCATTTCGTTTTGTCCTTTTCTTGAGGTACACCTGTTAGGACTCTATACCATCTCCTGATTCCTATGATACATTTAGTAACCTTTTGTACTTTTATGTTCTATCTCAAATCGGTGGCAAATAATTCTTACTTATAAATCTAATAAAGACGGTTATCTACAATTTTTTTTTTTCTTCAATGACAGATATTATTTTGGTTACCTTTTGTTATTATCTACCTCAATAAATATGTTTTATTAGAGAATAACCATATATTTTCATGAGCAAGTATATATTACGGAATTATTAATCTCCCAATGAAATTACAACATGTGGCACAAACAAAAATATTTTAATTTAATTTAATTCTAATCAATTTATATAAATACTGATCACTGGAGCCACGTCTTCAGTCCAAAAACATTCGCCAACAAAAAACAAACACTCTCTTCTCTTCTTCTTCTCTCTCGATCTCTTCTCCTCCCAAATCTTCAGATCTCCGCGTCAGCAAATTCGCCGGAGAAAACGAAGAAAAACCAAAAAAACCACCGTGAAAAACATGATTCCTTACGCCACTGTCGAGGAAGCTTCACTAGCGCTTGGACGAAACCTCACGCGGCTCGAGACCCTGTGGTTCGATTACTCCGCCACAAAGTCCGATTACTATCTCTACTGCCACAACATTCTCTTCCTCTTCCTCGTCTTCTCACTCGCTCCTCTCCCTCTCGTTCTCGTCGAATTGGCTCGATCCGCCTCGGGATGGTTCGATCGGTATAAGATCCAGCCTAAGGCTAATTACTCCTTGTCTGACATGTTCGGGTGCTACAGAGACGTCATGAAGATGTTCATCCTCGTCGTTGGTCCATTACAGCTCGTCTCTTACCCTTCGATTCAGGTAATTTCCCGATTCGGTTCGGTTTGGGTTTTGATTTTGATGATTTTAAGTTAGGAATTGAGGAGAGATCTCTGGAATGTTCCACAGATGATTGGGATTCGATCTGGGTTACCATTACCAACGATTTCAGAGATTCTGCCACAATTGTTAGTCTACTTTTTGATAGAAGACTACACAAACTATTGGGTACACAGATTCTTCCACAGTAAATGGGGATATGAAAAGATTCATCGTGTTCATCACGAGTACACAGCTCCGATTGGGTATGCTGCACCTTACGCACATTGGGCTGAAGTGTTGCTTCTTGGGATCCCAACGTTTTTGGGACCAGCGATAGCTCCTGGTCACATGATAACTTTTTGGTTGTGGATAGCTTTAAGGCAAATTGAGGCTATTGAGACTCACAGTGGGTAAGGGCGTGAGAATCAAATTATAACAAAATCTCTTCCTTTTGTTTTGCCTTTACAGTATTATAACCTTTTTCTTTATTATATGGCTCTGTGACTGAATCATATTGATTTTTGGATTGCTTTTCAAATCTTTCCTTAGTTAGTGTATTTGTATATCATTATATAAAGAGGTCACGCTGTGTGGATTCAATAGTGGCTCACCTTTATACAACTGGGGCTAAGTTAGGTATTAGGTTTTTCTGATAGGTTTTTTTAGGCTTTTTCTAAGCTATTAGAGATTGTTTTGGAACTGGTTAGATTTGATATCTTTATGATAATAAACAGGTAGGCTTCGTTTTTTTATATGATTTTTTTTTTTTTTTGGGTAACACAAAACATCTAAAGCATGAAACAAGTGGGCTAAAGGCTATCCTTAGTCTCTTTGTTTATTTACATTCCTCTGAAATTGACCATAGAAAAAAGTGTTTGTTACTAAAGCATATATTCACTTTGTTTCATTGCAGATATGATTTTCCATGGAGTCCAACAAAATACATCCCTTTCTATGGTGGTGCTGAGTACCACGACTACCATCACTACGTTGGAGGACAAAGCCAAAGCAACTTCGCTTCAGTTTTCACTTATTGTGATTACATATATGGAACTGACAAGGTAAAGGTTCATCAAATTTCAATCAAAATTAACCAGTTTTGTCTAGCTGAAAACATTAACAATATGGTTATCTTTTATTTTTACCTCATCAGGGTTACCGATTCCAAAAGAAGCTTCTTGAGCAGGTAAATTCTCCAACAAATGTGGTTATAAATTTTGTCCTGATCCTAGCATATAGACCTCGAACTGTTTCACTGTGATTTTTCATGTATGCTTCACTCATTGGCAGATAAAGGAGTCGTCCAAGAAGAGCAACCAGCATAGCGGAGGAATAAAATACGATTAATAAAAAACTGGAGAAGTTATTCAACCGGTTCAAAGAAATGCTAAGTTACTTGGAGAAGTTGTAGGCAAAATCTAGTCACCTTCACGGAAAAGATAAGGGGAGTAGTAGTTGATTTTTTTGGGGTGTGTCTTATCTTACGTCGTCAGGAGTTGTTACTAACTACCTTTTAATGTATTTCTTAAGCTCACATGAGAAATGCTGCTTCCGACAATTGTGGGTCATGATATATAGTGTGTCGGGACTGGGGTTTGGCTCTTTTCTCGTATTTTTAAATATATTTCGTTTCGTCTTGAAGAAGAAACAAGATCTCATTAAACCTTTGTTTGTTTTCCTCTCTCTCCCCCTTGTTATTACCGCGTTGGTAACTAGTAAGACTATATTAACTCTTTAACTGTATGTAGCAACAAGCCCGTCTAGCTCAGTTGGTAGAGCGCAAGGCTCTTAACCTTGTGGTCGTGGGTTCGAGCCCCACGGTGGGCGATTTATTTTTCGTTTTCAAAATTTTTCACACACGGAGATTCTAATAAAATAAACAATCCATTAGTTTTTAGTCAAACCAAACAAAAAAAATATATATACAGTAAAACCTCTATAAATTAATACTTAATAAATTAATAATCATTATAAATTAATAAATTTTGCTAGCCAATGTAAAAATCCATCAAATTCGATAAGATAATAAGATAATACTCCCTCTGTTCAGAATTATTTGATGTTTTAGAAGGTTTTTTTTGTTCAGAATTATTTGATGTTTTCACTTTTCAATGCAAAATTTAATAAATTTTTATAGTTTTTGACCTTTTATATTCTGCAGATTATCTTCTTATTGGCTGAATGATATTTAAATGGATTATAAATAATATTTTTAGTATAGAAAAAATAAAAATTAAATGAATCCTTAAACTGTGTGCAAAAACCTTAAACATCAAATAATTCTGAACAGAGGGAGTAATTTTTTTGAAATCCTTATGTAAATTTATGGTCCCAACAAAAACATAAATTAATAATGATATAAATATATGCAAATATATATAAATACAATATTTTAAAATATGACTAATGTGTTTGTTTTTACTTAAATTTGAAATCTCATTGGTTCTTATCTCTCTAATTATTATATCAATAGCTTTTATTGCTCTTTTACTATATACATTCAACATTTATGATGATTTTTTGACGTGATAATTGATTTTTTTACCTTTAAATGTTTTTAAATGTATTGTAATGTTATCTTCAATTTTATCATCAATAATATTAATAGCAGCCATGACAATCCAATATGGTGTTAAAAACTATTTTATTGGGATAGTTATGATTCTTAATCATAATTTATATAATGAGATTTGTTAAAATTTCAAAATATAACATTAATACAAAGAATTTTTAGAAAATTATATGCGGAAAGTAAATTTTCTTTATAAATTAATAATTATTAATTTATAGTTAAATTAATATCACGATAAATTAATAAATTATCATAGTTCCAATTATTAATTTATAGAGGTTTTATGTATTTACATAGGGGAGAAGATCTCACCGTTTTATTTCCAAAACAAAAATCAATACGCACAACACAATAAGTTGTCTAAACCACGACATAGAAACCTCTTCCAAACAAAAACAAAAACAAGAAATTAAATGTCGATATCATCCAGTGAGATCTCCTCTTCTTCGTTTAGTCGTTTCATTTTCTGCATATAAACAAGACCACATTCTTAGTCATTAGACCAGAGACAAAAGTTTTGGGTGTACAAATATCCTAATTGAAAAAAGATTCCATACAGTGAGGAAAGTTTGGGGATCGAGGAAGCTGGACGAGCCTAAGATAACTTCTCTGTCAAGCTTCTCCGTAAGTTTGTGGCAAACCCTCAACTGCAACAATCCAAAATGTATCATCATTAATTAACACAATCTGGTTAGCCAATTGGTTTGTCAGACCGGTCTAAAAGTATTCCAGTACCTCAGATCTCGTTGCTCCTCCTACTATGAAGACGAAAATCCGCTGTCCCTTTCTCTTGAATCCACTCGATGCTCGTCCTAGAACCGAGTCACTGAAACACACAGAGAGATCAAATCTTGGTGTAAATCAAATCAAAGTTTTTGTCATGCAATATATTGAATTTAAGGTTCGGTATAAATTGTCAATAGTTTTTAGAATACACTAGCTCACCAACAAAAATAAAAAAGATTGATATAAACCTGAAATATCCATCTTCAGAGAGATGGCGTCTTGCCCAAGTTGGTGTTCGTCTTGAATGAGGCAATACTGGACTTGCTGATGCAGATTGAGAGCCAGAGTAAAAGGTTGGCTTTGGTTCATTCATACATGGGTAGTCTTGTTTTGGCAAATGACCTTTGTTTAGTTTCTCAACAAGTTCCTGAAAAAATACATTACCCACAAATAAAAAGAGACCAACATGTTACTGATTTCTTTAAGAATACAAACAAGGCTTAAAGTAGAATTTGAAAGTTTCCAAAAGGTAAAGACCTCTATGATTGGATAAAACCGAGACAATTGCCATGTTTGAGTTTCACCAACCCGATCCCTTCTAGCAGCTCGCTTCTTCTGCGCCACACAGATCAAAAGATTCAAGTTATTTACATTGTCAGGAAAACTTCAGTGCAAATAAAACCAAGAATGAGGAAAATACGTACCTTAAGAACATCAAACTTTAAAGGGAAAGCCCCTGTTGTGCTTTTTTTAGACTCCGTATGTACCGGTCCAAGTAATCTCATATTGTTCACAGCTGCTACATCATCGCCCGACAATTTTGCTAGCTGAAGGATTTAATCAAGAAGTAAAAAAACTCAAAAATGATAATTAATTACCAAGGTTCAAGTCCTTTTTTTTCTTTGACATCTCCAAGGTTCAAGTCTTCTTGGAGAGAAATATTGTTTATTACCTCCATCATCTTTCGTCCCTTTTCACCTTCAAACTTCTTAGGGTAAATCGCCGCAACAATCATTATTAACCGCAGCTTGCTTTCGTGGTTTATAACCTGGAAATTTTGATCATTTTCATCAGCACAACAATCTTCTGATGTCTGAAACCTAAAACTAAAAAAAGCAGAGCATCTTACATTGTTGGTGGTCAAGAATTTGATAACGTCTTTTCTTCCAGCATCCCCAAATATAAGGTCCTGCTCGAGCTGCCCGAGTTCTCTTAGACCTTGTTCCATGATAGTTCTATTTATTGTTCTAGCAATCTGCAGTGACATTGACCACATTTCTGTTATAGAAAACAAACGATCTACCTCGTCGCGTCAAAGGTATCAACTTGCAAGATAAGAATACTTAATCAAACTTTCTTCCATGGTTTATGTTATAAGCTTAAAACTGACCTCTACATGAAGAGAAAGCTTGTCAATTTGCTCACTGTACTGAGGCAAAGCGTGAACCATCTTCTGCAAATCTTTTGATGAAAGATCACCAAAGTCTCTGAATACAAAAAGTCAATAAATTAGTCAGAAATGTTCAAGTGGATCACTTGAAACAAGAAAAAGGAAAAACCGGTAGCTACTTTGAACTGTGTTTCAATTGTGCGGCTTTGTTCTTTGACACGAAGTTTGTCATCTTCTCATGCAATCTTTCACTTGCCTAAACACAAAAATAGATGAATTCAACGAAATCCACATTAGCCGCCATGTTGAATCTTAAAAAGAGAAATAGATGAGGTGAGGCATACATCTGCAATGTGAGCATCCCGAAGCTCCAGCCAAATGGGATCTTCTTCATCTAGAAGAACCTCTTTCTTCTCAGGATTATCACCAGTTTTACTCGGAACCTATACACTAAGAAACAAAAGGGAAATTACCATATGCTGTAGTCATGAACTACAACCAACTTTTACAAGATTTGAACGAAAAATCAAAATTTCACCTCGTGTGTGTACTTATTTCCTTCCATAGTAAGCAAATCGTGGCACATCGCATCATATGTCCACTCATGAATGAGAGGTGCGATCTAACAAGCACAAAAAGATTATTGTCTTTTAAGTGGCATATCAAGCGTAACTGAAAAAAAAATTGTCTCAGTGAAGCTCCAAACCTGGTCTATGGATCGATCAAGGATAAGTAGTTCACATGTTTCAGTCTGAGGAAAATCTTCGATTGTCTGTTTGTATCTTGCCAGACAATTCCATACACTAGCAGCAAGCTTTGTAGGAATTAACTCTCGGTATGTTGTCATTGTCGTGGCATCAAGCGCTTTGGCTCCACGGTAGCGCACAAAGGGGTATTCCTGTATACCAGAAGAGGTTAAAGATAAAGATTAACTGTCGTAGGAATTTCATGCCAAACCAACAACAAGCTTTGGATATGTGCCTCGTACCCTTAGTGAGGCCAAAACTGTAGCAATGCGTTTAGCTACCACATTCAAGCATGCATCTGCTCTCTGATGGTTTTCCTCGTCATTATAAAGTTCTTCTAGAGCATTTTCGTTACTCGTAACGAACCCCTGCAAAGACATAATACATAGGAGGAAATAATAAACAGCTTTCAATATAGAAACAAAATTGAACTGTAGTTACAACACATGCATTCTCCTATAGACAAAGAACGTTTGATAATGTCAAGCTACACAATTTGCAGAATTTCTGAAAGACAGTTCTAAGTTGTTATAAAGAGAGTTTGGCTAAACCAATAAGTTAGCAGGTCAAGCATGAAACTCATCATTAGATATCGCCATTGTCAAACTGAAAATCTTGAGGAATAGACAGAATACCTGGCTGTCCATGCTAATGTACTCCAAGTTCATCTGTATATTATTGAGATCAATTAATTTTTACATTTTATAACTATCTTGTGTGATTGCATGTAGATAGGAAGAGTGTGAACAAAAATATAGGAGCAACCTCTTTCAGTGCGCCAATTCTTTTCATTGCTCTCAAATCCTTCCTAATGAGAGTAACTAAGCTTCTCGAAACAGGAGAACTAAAGTAAACGAAAGCCCTAAAGCCACATGAAAGAAAAAAGATTTTATCACTGAGGACAAGAAAGTCTACAGATATATGAAGTTATCAAACAGGAATAAATTGTTCACATACTTCTTGTAAAGTGGTGATTTTCCAGTCATATCTGACAAAAACGCAGCAACACTGAAAAACATATAAAAAGAGCAACAGCTTTAGAAAATCATAAATAGTTAATTGGCGAGAAAGTGATGTCTCAGACGGAAGAATAATTTTACTTTGCTTCGGTGGGTTGAATAAAGTATATGGCTTCCATGGCAGTCATAGGTTGTCTATGTTTAGTTATGACCTCAACCACTGTAAAGTGTAACAAAACATCAAAATAGTTCCCTAATAAACAATGCCAAGAAGATACAAGTAACAAAAATAGTGATCGCTTTGAGTTCTGAACAAAGATAATCCTTACAGGAAATGCCTTCTTGTGTGATCTCAGACATTTTGCAGACAGATGACATTATCTTCACTGTGAACTTGTCCATAACAAGTACCTAATTATACATTTCCAGGTTCAAAGAATCAATGAAATGAGAGGAAAACTAACAAAACCCAAAGAACCAAGATCTAAAAGGTAAATTGGATAGAAATTACCTTCCAAGTTGATCTCGAGCTCCCATTTTTTTCAGTCCTAAGCATTTCATACAGTAATCCTGAAATTAGAAGTGACAAAATGAAAAATATTTCAAACCTTAGAAATTGATCAAACTTTTGATATAATTACCTTAAAATGAAAACCTTCAATTCAATTAGTTTTACAAAACATCCTAAAATCCTGAAACATCTGGTTCATTGAGATCACGTTGACCTAATTCGAAATCCATAAACCCTAAATACGTACACGATTTCACTAATTAATCCGAGGAAACCCTAGAGCCCAAACACCAGAAGCTTCCAAAAGCAAATCCCGTGATAATTTTCAAAATTCAAACACAGAATTGGTAAGAGAAAGAGAGAAAAAAAGAAGAAGCTCACTCTCTCTGGTGATTTGCCTGAAACTCTTGTAATCTCCGCCATTTGAGGACGATCCAGAATCGGAGAACGACATGGCGTGTGAAATCGATATGGTCGACGAAAAAGGGTATTTCGTTTAGATGGAAAATTCTAAGTCGAATCGAATATGATTCGGGGATATAAGAAAAAAAAACTCAAAAACAGATTCACGAAGAAGAAGAAGAAGAAATTGGGAATCGTGGATCGGAGAAAATGAGAATCTAGGGTTTACTTGGTAACGAAGACAACGTTAAAGCAAAGAAACTTGGCGCTTCTAGATTTTCCGTTTTTTCTTCTCTTTTCTGGGTCGGCTTGAGCGAGCGAGCCCATGGATTTTCAAACTTTTGAACGAGTTTTTCTTTGTCAGACGTGTGATGAAGTCAAAAATTAGGGACACTTTTATTGTATTTTTGAGAAAATTGCAAAACAGCTCTCAAGGTAACCAAATTTTGCAAAGTAAACCATCAACTAAAGAAAAGAAACTCTGCAAGACTACAACAGTAATGAATCATCTACTGTAAAACTTCCAATATAGCCCCCCCCCCTAGTTCAACATATTTGTGTATCATAGGTGAGATCATTGGGCAAACTTCGGTTAATTTGAGGGGTTCTTTTTGTAGTTTCACGTAAATTATCCAGCAAATAAATTATTTTAATAGTCATTTTGCTTTTTCTTTTTGTTTTTCATCTCCCAACTTTTACCATCAATTCCCATTTTCTATATTCACATGTTTCTTTAACATTTTCCCTTCGATCGTTTCAAATATTACTTATTAAAAGTATCTCTAAAGAAAAATTAATGAGAAATCAGAATTTACTACTTTTTTCGTGCAATCAAAATCAAAAAATTTCATTCAATTTATCTCAATGATTGTTATAATTTTTTGATCAATCTAACAAATAAAAAAAATATTACTGGATAAGTTTAAGATCATATTTTCTCAAGGCAAAATTTATCAAAAACAATTTACGGAATTAGAACTCACAAAAATTGTCATCACATCAATATCTGTTACATGTACCCACGTCCTAGGAAAAGAGACATGATACATATTTCAAGTGATTTACGACATTAAACACATCTAGACAGAATCGTTAGAATTGAAATATACTATTTTCATCACCACGGTAATCTTAAAATTAATTAAAATATTATGAATTCATATCTCTATGCATGGCCTGAGACACCACCTAATTTACATTGAAAAACACGACATTTACATTGGAACTAATACAATACTCCTTCTGTTTTTAATTGATAGATTTTTGTAGGAATTTTCATAAATGTTGAGAAAAATAGATTAAAATTTGATTATAAAATGCATTATTTTAAGTAATTTACTACATTGAAACAATCCACCACACAAAAAGCAAACTTAATGTCTTATTATTACCAAATATAAACAAATTTCATATATATCATTACACTCCTTTAGCTTGATTCAAAGTTGTCAAGCCTTCAAGAATCAAATCGCTTTCTTGATTCAGGTATCTGCTTCTTAGACCGCTTCCATCGCAAGAAAAACACAATCATGTAAACAATAACAAGGATTATATTACCCTACCAATACTGACGGTAAGTACAATACTGTATCTGGAGATATAATAGACATTGAGACTAAGTAAGAGATATGGAGAGACACCATTATCCATAGAAACGACCACACATATTCTTCTCCAGCTGGTAAGAAGGAAAACGCCATGAGAACCTCTCCTTCGAAAGCCATGCTATTCACGATCCTTAGGACACTGAAATAACGCTGGTTCATCACAATTTTTTTTGGATAATTAGAAGGTTCTGGCCGAATAAACTTGAATCAATTTTTAGTATTATTATCCGTACCAGCTATCACTCGATCTTGTGACCTTTTAGATTACCCCATGGTACTTTTCCAGTCGAGCTATCGACCTCTGGTGGTTATCACAACTTTACCAACACTCTTCTTACTACTATTACAACTTCCCTCAGCATTGCTTTGGTAAACACCTCCTGGTGGTTGAAGAGCTGTCTGACAAGTAGTTGTGATTATCAGCACCGCTATCACTAGAAGCGCACTACGTGATCCATCTGATATTTGATTCCTATACCGAGCTGCGTTTGTGAACAGATACTCATTAAAATAGATCCGCGATCTCAATATTTCTGACAATTTCTTCGACTTTGGTAGAGAGTTTGCGTTTTTGCCTCCTGATAATGGTTTCTTCGATTTCTCTATACCTATGAACATATCTATGATCTTATGAGATTTCTAAAGCGGTTAAACCATTCTTGTTATAGATGTTTCAGTTAACTGCTCGAGATGCTAGCAAAATCTTGATCGCCTTGATTTTATTTTGATATGTTGCTAAGTGCAAAGCTATGTTACCATTGTGATTACGTCTGTTCAAGACTTGCATCTCTAACGATTCAGCATCTATCTGACGCAGTCTCAGCACCCATCCCAAGAGAATTTCGAGTTCTTCATATCTATCTTCCATAACCGCAATATGTAGAGAGGTCTCACCGCTCACCGTTCACGTTCACATCTCTAACGCAACGAGAACGAGGACAAGCCAAAAGGAACTCTGTCATAAATAAGATCGATTTCTCCTCTCTTTACTAACATGTTACCAAAACATGAAACTTTCACACGCTAAATCCACAAAAAAAAAAACCTATCTTAAGTTACATGACATTTGGCCAAGAACTTTGTCTTATGGAAGAATGACAAAGGAACTTAGTAAAAGGGAAATAAAAAAAATTGTGTACCTTCTATTCCTTGAAGACTAACTAGGTCAGGATCAAGTTTGAGTAAAGCAAGAGTTAACCGTGTTTGGCCTTTCTCTATAGCTAGGTGCAATGGACTAAACCCATATGTGTTAAATTTTTTTGGCAAATGGTGGTTTAAGATTTATCAACTCCATCGCAAAAGCAAGATTTCCAGAAGCAGAGGCTACATGAAGAGGAGTGTTTATGATACAACATCAAAGGTTTCAAGAATGTACGGATCCTCATCGATTTGAGCATACAAGTCATCTATGCTTCTGATTTGAGCGGCTATGATCAATCTTGGATCCATTTGAAAAATGTGAATAACTAGTATGCTTAATCGAAATACTTACATTACTTTTTAAAATACATGGATCGTTGAACTTAACGTCTTAACCCATCATTGTTATGTGATGTGAACTTCACCCTTCATTAGTTTAAGGTAAGGGATTTGAATTGATCTAGCTAAGCCATTAGAATATAAAACACTAAAGGAACTCTGAAAGTGACTGATCTAAAAAAAAAGTCTTCTCTTGAGAAACTACATAAGTATTCAAGTATGACTCAATCCATTAAATGATCAATAATCTTGCTGGTTTTTTAGGCTTTGATTGTTTGTTAAGTTTACGTTTGTATTTATAATTTCTTTTTTTTTTCAAACGATTTTATGATTTTCAATCACTCATTTTAGATAAAATTCATAAGTTAATAACGGTAACAAACACGAAAAAGAACTCGTTTGCATATAGTGTTTACGTTTAGATTTAAAGAAGACCTTTTTGATGAAAAACTAAAAATATTTCTATATTAAATTTTGATATTCAAAGAAAAATTATTCACATGTAAGTATATGTATTAACGGAAAATTAGTGTTTAAACAATTAATGCCTTAATCTCTAATATTCTCTACATCCTTTATGTTTAAAACAGGACCTTCCAGGATAATGAAGGCTAATTTCGGACATGGATACCGCGTTACCGACAAAGTTTATTTCCTAACAATTCAAAAGCTAATGAATGTTTATGTCTTTAACCAAAAAAAGCTGATATTGGTATCGTATATATAAGAAAACCCAAAAACTTCTTAAAGATCTATGAAAATGACAAAAGTGTATTTGTCATCGGTTAACTAATATCTTGGAGATGCTGACAAAAAAAAAAAAAAAAACTAATATCTTGGAGATTGAAGTAGTAAAAACTCGTAATAAGCGGCAAGTAACGACCTATTGTTCAGACGTTAAAAAAAAAGAAAACGAGACAGATTGTTCAATTGAGGAAAAGTCTTTTTTTTTTTAATGTCTGGTTCAGTAATTTCATCGAACAGGTAAACCACACAACTTCCGTACTTGACTACACGTGTCAGAACCGGAGATCAATTCCACCGCCACGTGTACTTCACGTGTCTTTGTTTCAGAGCATCTCTCTCCAAGGCAGTGGATTAACCACAGAGGCGAAGAACAATACTACTAACAGAGCCTCCACAAAAGAGAATGCTTCGGTCCAATTTCCGTCGTGAAATCCCCAAATATACCGGGCTTTGTCGCCGGAAGATACATAGCGATCTCGAAGATGCCGGTCCAATGGCATCTAAGCTTAAATCTCGTTCCGTTGTCCGGTTTAGTGGACCGGATACGGTTAAGTTTCTTCAGGGTCTGTTGACCAACGATGTACGGAGGTTCGGTGAATCGGCCGGCGAGAAAAGCGCGACGGTTCCTACGCCGAATATGGCTTCCGTCTCGACGCCGCCTATGTACGCGGCGTTGTTAACTCCTCAGGGAAGGTTTCTGTACGATTTTTTCTTGTATAGCCCGACCCGGCCCGAGGAAAAGCTCAATCGGACTGGTTCCGGACCCGGGTCCGATTCGGAACGTGGTGGGTCTGTTGAGTTGTTCGCAGATGTTGATGTCTCTGTCCTCGATGAATTGCTGGAAACACTAAAAAAGTAAGCTTTTTTTTCTTTCAATTTTTAAAGAAATTTGGTCTTTTTGATCTCAGTCTTAGCCATGTCCTTGGTGATTATGGTTTATTGAGTTTTAGATGATTACAAAATAAGGGATTTAGATGCCATCTGTACTGAATTTACTTGAATTAGTAAAAAAGCTCAGATTTTGTTGAGGAATGAACCATTTTCTTGGTTCTGAATTGCGTGAAAATGTTGATAGATATCGCTTGAGGGCGAAAGTGGATATTGAAAACGTTGCAGAGGAGTTCTCGTGTTGGCAACGTTATGGTAGGAACCTCTCTGGATCTTCATCTGTGGGTTGGGGCGGTGGCGTTGATCGTGCCGGTGAATCTACAGCTAGTGGTAATAAATATGGATGGCAATGGTACAAGGATCCAAGGTTGGATTGTCTCGGTTACAGAAGCATTTTTCCTTCCGATGCAACCCGTAAGAAGACTCTTTTACAGAATAGAAGCTTCATATCTTGAGATTGAGTACTGATTCTAATGGTAAGCTAACGAATATTGCCGGTTTTTGGTTTGTTTGTGCAGCGCCTTTAGTTGAGGCAGATAAAGAAACAGATGAAAGGAATTACCTTTTATGGAGATTAGAGCATGGAGTTGCTGAAGGATCAGCTGAAATCCCTAAAGGTATGATCTCTCTCTTTTTCTCATCGATGTAATCTCTCTTCTTCTCTGTGTATTTGTAATATGTTTTTGTGGGGCTTTCACAGGGGAAGCAATTCCGCTTGAGTATAATTTCGTTGGTCTTAATGCTATAAGCTTTGACAAAGGGTGCTACGTTGGTCAAGAGCTTATAGCTCGTACTCACCATCGAGGTGTCATCCGCAAACGCTTACTCCCTTTACGATTCATTGATAGAAATGGAAAAGGTAAGCTGCGTTTATAAAGAAGTCGAAATTTCGTACATCTTATTGATCAAAGAAACCAACTATACCGGTCTCAATTATGCAGAGTTAAACCAGAAGATTGCGGCTGGAGCAGAAGTGGTTGAATCAGGAACCGGCAAGAAAATGGGGACGGTTTCAACGGCTTTGGGTGGCCGTGGAATGGGAGTGATGAGAGTAGAGGAAGCCTTTAAAGAATCATCTGAATTGACAGTAAAAGGTTCAGAGGATGTGAAAGTTGAGGCGATTAAGCCGACTTGGTGGCCGTCTCAGTGGTTCGAACAGAATCAATCAGGAGTTGCCTCTGCGTAGTAACCTCCGGTAACAAGATTGTTACTTTTGTCAGAGTTTTTTTTTTTTTCAGTTTTTAAAATAAAGTTAATTACTTTCCGGCGAGGAATTAGCCTTTGTTTGTATTCCACTGTTTAACTTATACCAATAAAGGTTGTTTTTTTCGGCGAGTTTTAGGCGCCGTAGAATTTTGTACTAACTGTCTCTTAAGGGAATCTTCCGTTTTTTGTTTTTTTCATTGTAAAGCCGTTAAAGTCTGCATATATATATATAACGAACCTGTGTGCCTCTACGTTTAGTGTTTCTCTATTGTTAGAGTTTTCTCTGCACATAGCGTGGTCGACGAATTTGACTGTGAGACAGAAACTACTTCTAATAGCTTCAGTCTAAAGAAGAAACTAAGAAAAGACTCTCAACTTGCATTCTGAAAGGATTGATCAAATAGAAAAGTTCGATGGAAGAAATGATTACACTTCATGGAAGGAGGGAATAGTAGGAAGCTAGAAACAAATCTGATGGAGCAGTAATTGAAGACAAAGAAACATTCTGCAGTTTTGAGTCCAGGTCTAGAAGAAAACAAATTCTAAAAATCAAGAGGGGATAAAGATCGAGCACATGTGTTGATGGTATCAGAGAAGTGGATTCTTGACACTGGCTGTAACCTTACATCAAGAAGAGACTGGTTCGCTGATTCTGCGTGAGCTAGAAAAGCAAGTGATGGTGAAAATGGAAATGAAATTGTTTTTTCAGAAGTAAAAGGTAGAGGAACTGTGAGTCTGCAATCATCCAATGGTTGTATTGACAAATGTCAGGTAAGATCCCAAGTTCTCCATAAATCTGATTTCAGTGGGCACATTGGAATCATAAGGCTGTTCATATCACTGTGAAAATGTTGTGCTGAAGATTGAACGTGGCTGCAGAATTGTCCTGGAAGGATTAAGATCTGAAAGTCTATATTTTCGTCATTAATGGATCACATTGAAGAAGCCAAAGATGAAACACCCCTCATGGCATAGGACTTGATCAATGAGCATGAAGGGATTAAATCTTCTTGTTAAGAAAGGATATTTAGACAACAATAACGAGGTCTCAAATCTCTAGTTTTGTGAGAATTATCTTCTCGATCAGGATTCAGGACCATAGTTTGGGCGATGGTGGTCACGAAAGCTAGGAGCTAGTGCTGCATAAAACCGCAGGAAATAAAGTTTGTAAGGTATTAGAAACCTAATCTCTAGCTTGAAATTAACGTTAACAGCGAAACGTCTCTGTTCTTAACCTGTTTTGGTGACCAAGTTATTTAACAGAAAAAGAAAGTCGAATACTTTCCGGTGAAAAATTAAGACTTTACGTGTTCTAGATGAGCATCATAAAACAATTGAAGGTATGTACAACTACTTTACGATCTGATGATCAACCAGGAGTGTGAGTCACACATCTCTGCGGCTATACAGTCTTTAGAGACGCAAAGCAGTGATCCTTCCTCTGTATTCTTTCCACTCGTGGAGAAGTGCTGGCTAGGCTTTAGAAAGAAGATGATGTTTGTGTTTTACTTAGCCATTTGTATGACTTGTAATAGAGCTACATTGTGGGACGTGGGCAAAGAGATTTTCCATAAGCAACTCTCCTCTGCCCCCACAAGTTCTAGATAAAGTTATTTCCGGCATATTAGGACTGATCACTGATGACAGATTGGTAAGATATGGAAGCGATGCTTCAGCTACAATACTTTGTTGGATTACAGCATTAGAGAGTGTTTCGAGGGTCTCGAGATGTGTGTACCGGTATGAAAATTCTTGCCCTTTATTCTCTCCCTCTCATTTGATTCTTGTGACTGTGTATATGTTACAGAAAAGTGTATGTGATACTCTGAACAGGACGACTACTCGGAGGAATTGAGGTTTTTACCAGATTAGCATGGAGGGCGATTATTTACTTACTGTTATGGGTTGTGACAAAATTTGGAGAATTTATGTGATATAAGAAGTAATGATGTTATTAAAATTGCAAACCTCTCCTCGAATTGATGGAGGGCGTTTATTTACTTACTGCGATAGGGTTGTGACAAGTGACAAAATTTGGAGATTTATGTGATATAAGAAGTAATGATTGTTATTAAAATTGCAAAACCTCTCCTCGAATTGATTTAATACCCTAAAAAAGAAAACACAAAATTACAGTGAATTCTGGAATTACAAACCCTAACTTCCTCTTCGAAACCCTAATACAACAAAAATACTTGATAAAAAAAAAAGTTTCCTTAAAAATAGAGAGCGTGTGACCCAAGTTCTGGAACCAGTAGATGAAACCCTAATTTTTCAATCCCCTTTGTTCCAAGAATCATCGATCGTACAGCACAGAACGACACAACGGGCAAGTGTTTTTGCGTTGAAGCCACTCAATGAGACAGCGATCGTGGAAGACATGGGAACAAGTCATGCGTGTAGGGACACCAGTTTTTTTGGAATCCGAACATGAGAGCTCGTCGAGACAGATTGAACACGGCTCTGTTTCCATACTCTTCAGTTCCTCTGTATTCATCTTACTCCCTAGTAAAACCATCCTCAATAACTCCTCGCTGTTAACCACGACGGTCTGGTGAGTAATTCTGACGGAGATGATCAAGTAAAAACCGTTACTGCCAAAACCTAACGCTGTTGCAGCCCTTGAGATCTCTCTTTCTAAACTTAAGGATAACAAGTCGTTGTGGTGGCTAAGGAGTTGATCTTGGAGAAGCCCTCGGATGTGGTCGCGACTTAAGCTACGGAGATTGATGAGAACGGGAGGATAAACCGACCGATCGGTATCAGAGATCTCATCGACGTAGATGATGATTTTCTTTTCGTATCCTTCTGCTGGGAAAAGTTTCCTCGCTTGGAGGATGCGAATTTCCACTTGGGGAGGAGTGTTCATGTTTTTGAAACGTAAGATTCCTCGCAAACTTCAGAAGAGATACTCAAGGAAACCTAAAAATCTTAGAGAGAAACAGAGGAGAGAGTGAGAGAGAAAATAATGAAAATCAATCGAGAATGAATTGTGAAGCTTAGGGTTATATATATATATATAAGCGTTGTCAATTGTGATTTTTGTTACGCGCTTTTACCGGTCATATACTCAGATATCGACCATTCCTTTTTTTTTTTTTTTATGTTTTGTGATAAAGTTTCCTTTTTTTTTGATGTTTTGTGATAAAGTTTCCTTTTTCTTGTCAACTAGTAATAAATTTCTTTTTTTTTGTTTAATTGGTTTAAACCCTAAAATTCGTTTTACTTTACTACTTAGTTTTAATAAACTCAAAACACCTCTTATGGGGAAGTAATATATAGTGTTTTATACTTTCAATATTTTTTAGTTCAAAAACAATTATGGGGAAGTAAACCATGAAACTGCGTGCCGGAGATTGAGGTGGTGGAATCAGGAACCGGGGAAAAAAAAATTGAGATGATGTAGCTGGAAGAAGGAATGTGGCTAAAGGCATTTGTAAGATCTATACTGAATGAAATTGGTATCTAATATTCCAAAAGAGTTTGAAAGTCTCACTAACTCAAGGTTTTCGAAGCATGAATTAAGTCTAGTTGATTTTGGGTTGGCTTTAACAGGGGGAAGCAATATCGCTTGAATATAATTTTGTTGGTCTCAATGCGATAAGCTTTGACAAAGGGTGCTATGTTGGTCAAGAGCTGGGTCGGGAAACTGGGACGGGAACGGGGACAGGAAACAGTAAATTAAAAATTTATAGATACGGGTACGGTATATATGTATATAACAAAATAATACACATACATTGGAGCTAAAATTTTTTTCTAATATTTCAAGAGAGTTTTATCATTTCCTAAATCCACAAATACTATACTACTAAGGGAAATAACCACTCTTGATCGTTAATATATACTAGGAAAAATTTCATATTAATATAACCCTTCCCAAATTCCTAGAAACGTTAGAGAAACGTTTCCGAGTGTCTCTAATCAGTACCCGTCCCCGAAACGTTTCGGAGACGTGAGACGTCTACAAACTGTCGTACCCGTGCTTCATTAGTTATAGCTCGTATTCAACACCGAGGTGTCATCCGCAAATGCTTAACTTCTATACGATTCTTAACTTCTTCTTTTGAAATCCTAATACAAGAACAAGAATACATGATAAAAAAAAGTTTCCTTAACAATAGAAACGTGTGACCCAAGTGTACAACCAGTAGATGAAACCCTAATTTCAATCCCCTTTGTTCCAAAATCATCGATCATACAGCACAGTACGACACAACGGCAGAGCCGTGCCTACAATAGGATAAAAAAGGCAATCGCCTTAGGCCACATCTTATATATTAAGTTTAGAGGTTACATTTAACAAGTGCATTATAGTTTCTTTGGTTATTTGTCGGGTACATATGTTTATTTTGTTCAATTTCATCCTCAACACCATAAAAGTATAAAAGTTTTCACCAATTTTTTAAAATATTATTGTACATTTGATTAATGATTTTTTCACTACAAGAAAGAGGGGCTTTTCCGTCGAATTATTTACGACGATTCGTAGTCGTCGTAAATTTACGACGACATTACGTCGTATTTACGACGATTAAAAATTTCGTCGTAAATTCGACGTAAAAAATAACCCTCGTAAAATCGTCGTAATGTTACGACGATATTACGACAAGATTACGACGAATTTTATTTCGTCGTAATCTTGTCGTAATATTTACATCGATAATACGACGAATTGTCCTCTATCTTGTAATTGACGTAAAATCAATGTAAATGTGATGTAAATTTTATTTCGACGTAAATTTGATGTAAAAATGCAATGGTAATATGTTGGTAACCAAACAAAAAATTCTATATATACCCCTTCTTCTCTCATTATTCCATCAACCCAAAAAAACATATAAAGACACAAATTTTTTGAGTCTTTGAATGTTTAAGTAAAACTTTTAGTAGTTGAAATTTCTATCAAATTTCAGAAACAAAAAGTCAAATATTTGTTTTTGAAATGTCTATATACGATCTACGAAAGTGGATGTATACGCCCAAAAATGGTGATGGGTCGTTGACTGAAGACTTCAAAAACGGATTGGAAATATTCATGTACCAAGCCGGCCTTCTGGAAACTGTAATTGAAAGCGGCAAAATGTATTGTCCTTGTGTGAAATGCAAAAATAGGAAACATATTCTTATTGACACTGTCTGGCAGCATTTATTGAATAGAGGGTTCATGCCCCAATACTTTATTTGGTATCAGCATGGAGAGGGATATGGTCAAAGTAGTGGTCAGATGGCTGCACGGAGTACTAGTAATCATCAAGAACATGTGGATTTTGTAGCGTCCAATGATTATCAAAGTAGTCAAGTTCAGGGTGAAGATCATGATAGGATGCATGAAATGATTACTGATGCATTTCATGAAACACATGCTGATACTGTTGAGGAGCCCAATGCAGATGCGAAACGCTTTTATGATATGTTAAACGCAGAAAAGCAGCCTCTGTACGAGGGATGTAGGGAAGGTTTATCAAATTTATCATTGGCAGCTCGGATGATGACAATAAAAACAGATCACAATCTATCTGAAGTTTGCATGAACGATTGGGCAGATCTTATTAAAGAGTATTTGCCAGATGATAATTTGGCTGCTGAAACGTATTATGAAATTCAGAAGCTGGTTTTTAGTCTTGGATTGCCTTCTGAGATGATTGATGTTTGTGTTGATAATTGTATGCTTTTTTGGAGAGATGATGAGAAGCTTGAAGAATGTCGTTTCTGCCAAAAGCCAAGATATAGACCACAAATTGCTGGGCGTAAGAAGATTCCTTACCAACGAATGTGGTATTTTCCTATCACTGATAGGTTAAAAAGACTATATCAATCCGAACGGACAGCTGCGTCGATGAGATGGCATGCAGAACATTCACAAACAGATGGCAAAATGACTCACCCGTCTGACGGGAAATCTTGGAAACATTTTAACACCGTACATCCAGACTTTGCTAGGTCTAAGCGAAATGTTTATCTTGGTCTTTGCACTGACGGGTTTAGTCCATTTGGTATGTCTGGTAGGCAATATTCATTATGGCCTGTGATTCTTACGCCATATAACCTTCCTCCAGATATGTGCATGCAAAGAGAGTTTTTGTTTCTAAGTATATTAGTCCCTGGTCCAAATCACCCGAAGCGGGCCCTTGATGTGTTTTTGCAAGCACTCATACATGAGTTAAACCAGTTGTGGCATGTTGGAGTACGAACATATGATTGTTCGAGTGGTAAAAATTTTACGATGCGAGCGGTGCTTATGTGGACAATAAGCGATTTCCCGGCATACGGAATGCTATCAGGTTGGACAACGCATGGGAGGTTATCATGTCCTTATTGTCTTCATAGGACTGATGCATTTCAGCTTAAACATGGTAGGAAAACCTGTTGGTTTGATTGCCACCGTCGGTTTTTACCACCAAACCATCAATATAGAAGAAATAGGCGTTTGTTTATAAAGAACAAATTGGTTCGTCTCCCTCCACCAGTGTACCTAACTGGAGTAGAGCTTAAAGCGCAAATAGATCATTGGGGTGGACTTGAAACGGTCCCCCTTGGAGGAAATTGGCACACTCCTGCGAATATGCCTGACGGATATGGGGTTCATCATAATTGGCACAAGAAAAGTATATTTTGGGATCTGCCTTACTGGAAAGATCATTTGCTTAGACATAATCTTGATGTTATGCACATTGAGAAGAATTTTTTCGATAACATCATGCATACTGTTTTGAACGTCCAAGGAAGAACCAAAGACAGCGTTAAATCACGGATGGACTTACCCGATATATGTAACAGAATTGAGTTGCATATGGTGAGTAATGGGAAAGCACCTGTTCCTGTATTTCGGTTGGGTGCTGAACAAAAAACAGCTTTGTTTAATTGGGTATCATCAGCCGTGAAATTTCCTGATGGATATGTATCTAATCTGGCTAAATCTGTGGATAAAGGACAAAAGTTTTCAGGGATGAAAAGTCATGATTGTCATGTGTTTATGCAACGGTTACTTCCTTTTGCGTTTGCTGAACTCCTACCGGGACATGTCCATGAGGCACTAGGAGGCATTGGAGCTTTCTTCCGTGATCTAAGTACAAGGACATTATCAGAAGATGTAGTTGCACAACTGTCTACAAATATTCCAATATTGTTGTGCAATTTAGAGAAAATATTCCCACCTGCTTTCTTCAATGTTATGGAACATTTACCTGTACACCTCCCTCATGAAGCAGAGTTGGGAGGACCTGTTCAGTTTAGGTGGATGTATCCGTTTGAACGATTTATGAAGCATTTGAAGGGTAAGGCCAAAAACTTAGCAAAAGTTGAAGGGTCTATCGTGGCGGGAAGTCTGACAGAAGAGACTTCTCATTTCACGTCTTATTACTTTGCTCCAAAGGTTCGTACACGCAAACGGGCTCCAAGACGTTACGACGATGGGGGTGTAGGACAAAGTTACGCAGTAGAAGGTGTGCCTGATATATTCTCACCAATTGGACGTCTAAGTGGGAAACTGAAAGAAACCCGTTGGTCAAACGAACAAGACTACCACAGCGCACATACATATATACTTCTGAATTGAAAGGAATTGGCACCTTACGAGAGGTACATAATTATAACCATGTATGATTAAAATTTGATATATTGAACATGCGAAATGTCATTAACAATGTATTAAAATTTCAGCACTTTCGTCAGTCAAGTCCGAGAATGCATTGACGGTGTTTCAGAAGATGAAATTAACAAGCGAAAAGACCAACATTATGCATTGTGGTTAAAAGGTCAAGTTGAGCATGATGACATGACATATGCAGTATGGTTTCATGAGTTGCTCCTAGGTCCTATTTCGAAGATAACTACTGCAGCTATGTATTTCACACGTGGCTATGTTTTTCATACTTATAGTCATGGCACTCAACGGGCAACTACAAACTATGGAGTTTGTGTACGAGGTGAAGTAGACTTTTATGGAATCATCAAAGAGATAATTGAAGTGGAATACCCCGGATTAGTCAGAATGAAAACTGTTCTATTCAAATGTGATTGGTTTGATCCTACGGTAGGTCGTGGAGTGCGCATGAACAAATTTGGAGTGGTAGATGTAAACGCATCTCGGCAATACAATAAGTTCGAGCCATTTATACTTGCATCTCAAGCAGAACAAGTCACCTTTGTTCCATATCCTCGAGTTCGGAATACGGGAATTTCATGGCTGGCGGTTGTCAAAGTTGCTCCACGGGGTATAATTGATGGTGTAGATCTCCCGCCAATGCAACAAGATGATTGTGTCGACATTACAGAACCGGATGTTGAAGAAAATGTTCTTTTAATTGATCCACGTAATCGACAAGTTGAAGATCTACATGGGGACGAAACTGAAGAAGGTGTTGACGAATTTACGACAAGCAGTGATGATGATGACAATGATGATGAGGACACCGAGGAAAATGTTGATGAAGACTAATTAAATATGTTGACATTAATTAATTGCATGCTTTGAACGTTTCACTGTAACATTTGTCAAATTTAAATTTTTGTTTATATAAGCTTCTTGTTTTCATCTCCTGGGGACCCGGTTAGAAAATTTATCAAGTGATCCACCATACCTCTATAATATGAAGATTGAAAATTTGTTTATGTGTTGACTTGAACATATGTTGACTTTTACGACGAATTTACGACGATTATTAAGAAATCGTCGTAACTTCGTCGTAACATGCAAACCCTAAACCCTATAGGGTTTAGCTTTCCCAACTTACAAAATGGTTTTTGGGTTCATTTTCCTAAGTAAACTGATGTATTATATAAGGGTCTGTAGTGTAAGGTTCAAGAACTTGTAGAAATGTGGTTTTTATTACGACGAATTTACGACGAATGGGAGTAATCGTCGTAAATTCGTCGTAATATACCATCGAGATTACGACGAAATGTAACCCCTAAATCTTAAAATCAATCTTTTATGGGGTTCTGGGGGGATTTTGATGAAGAGAATGAAATGGCTTACCATCTCATAAGGTAAAACAACTTTCTAAACAAAAAAAAAAAAAAATTCTAAAATTGACATATATGTGTTTATCAAGTAATCTTAAGGTGTTATATACATTTACACAAGATGTATGGATTTATCTTACATCTTACTAAAATCTTCATTAAGTTATGTAAACATGTTAGAAAGTTATACACACCACATTTATCATGAATAGACATGCTTGTATGTCCTTATGGATGTTTCAATTTTTGAATTTCATCAGTTTTGTATAGTTTGTCGTTAATTCGTCGTAATATTACGACGAATTTACGACGATATGTGTATACACAGCCGTTTTAATTTTAATGATTTATACGATTCGTCGTAAATTCGTCGTAATGTTACGACGAATTTACGACGAATAACACGGATCGTCGTAAATTCGTCGCAAAGTCCAGATACACCCACGTGTGTTTGTCTTATTCGCTTTGTGTACGGTGGGAACTTTGCGACGAATTTACGACGGATTCGTCGTAAATTCGACGTAATATTTACGTCAAATTTACGACGAATATAAATTCTATATATAGGACCTCACCCCTTCCTCATTTCGTCGCTCATCTCTCCTTCCTCTCTCGCTGTCTCTGCTTCCTCCTTCCCACCTCCTCCTTTCGACGCAAAAAAAAAAAGGTAAATAATTTTTTTTAATTACTTCAAATTATAATAATTTTAAATAGTTTAGAAATTCAAACGGTTTAGGTCGGGAATTAGTTTAGGCTCAGAATTTGTTAGATTTAGGATCAGAATTTGTTAGATTAAAGATCGGAATTTGTTAGATTTAGGATCGACATTGTAATTAATTTGAAAAATAATTTTTTTCCGTTTTGCAGACGATGCCTCGACGGAAGACGCATTACATCAATTTCATGGCGGACGGACATTCTTCCCGGGCGTCTGCCTCGGGAAACACCGGGACCGATGTCCCTTCCTCATCTTCCGGAGCCTCTCAGGTTCCGAATACCGCGGAGCCGTCTCCTCCACCGCCTCCACCACCGCCTCCACCACCGCCTCCTCCACCGGCTCCCGAACCGGTACCCGCCCCGGCTGCCGAACCGGTACCCGTCCCTCCTCATCCGTATGCCCAGTTTACGGTTGAGGATTTACTAGCCTTACCGGGACGGGGGGCTTTACGACGTCTGGTTCCCGGAAAAGCGGAACCAGGCTCTTATTGGTAAGTAAACTTTTTTGTTTTTTATAGTTTTTAAATTAACGCTTTAATTTACTTAAATATTAATGTAATAATTTTTTTTTTTTGTTTCATAGGTTTACTTTGGATAATTGTGTCGGTCGGAGCGTTTCCGACTGCATTAAGAGTCATTTCGTGGAGCCGCACTACAATTGGAGCAAGGTGTCGCAAGAGACGTGCGACACCTGGTACAAGTGCTTCGCGGTAATATTTTTAAATATTATTTATATCATTTTAAATTGTTTTAAATTTAATTAATCTTACTTTTATATTGTTTATCTAATTTTTTTGTTTTCTTTTGCAGCAACGGTGGAATTGGGACATCGGGATCAACGAGACGGTCCGCGATGCTTTCGTGGAAAAGGCGAAGAAACGCCTAGTCAACACCGTTTCCGATTGGAAGCGGAAATGGGAGACCGACGGCGACGACGCAAAGCCGAGCTCCATGTCCACTTGGTGTTGGAACGGGTTGAAGGCGTATTGGGTGGACCCGCATGCCCAAACCACCGCTGCTAAGTGTTCGGCCGTCCGAAACCGGGTCGATCCGGTGACTGGTGAGAAGTTAGTGACCCCGCACACTTCTGGCCAAGTATCTTTTGCGGGAAGACGTCTCATGATGGTAAGTAATTAAATATAATTTATTTCATTATTATTTTAATTTTATTTATTACTATAATTTATTAAATATTTTTGACTAATAATGTTTATTAATTGGTAGGCCGAGGAGAACGGAGGAGAACTACCTCCAATGACGAAGCTCTTCGAGACCACTCACCGGAAGAAGGACGGGAGCTTTGTCGACACTCGGTCCGAGGAGATCTACAATGCCGCTATGCAGCGGATCGCCGAGCGGGAGACCCAGGCCACACCTGACGGTACTATCCACGTACCGTTGACCGTCGCTGAGCAAGACCAGATTTTCGAAGAGGTATGATCTATTTCAATTTTTTAAAAATTTATTATATTTATAATTACTTAATAAATAATTAACGTTTTTATTTTCCATTTGTAGGTCGCTCCGAAGAAGAAGGGCCGAACCTTAGGGATGAGCTCTATTAGAGACTGTCCTGCCGCCACGGCTTCCGGATTCCACCGCCCGCAGGATCCGCAGCTTCGCCAGGAGCTTGCTACGGCCAATGCTGAGATCACCACTCTCAGGCATGAGCAAGTGGCCCAGAAGCAGGAGCTCACCGAGATCCATGATCTCTTCGACATCATTGCGGAAGCGGTTCCGCAGTTGGCCACCGCAATCCGAGCGAGGCAACAGCGAGCACGGAGGGTTTTTGAGACCGGAGCTACTTCCGGTACTGGACCCTCGGACCCGCAGACGCAGGGCGGTCAGACTTCGGCTCCGGTCCCAGCAGTGACGGGCGGTCAGTCTTCGGCTCCGGTAGTGCAGACGGAAAACGTCGGTCCAGCAGCGACGGGCGGCCAAGACGGAGAGCTTCCTCGTGACGTCGATCTCGACCTCGACGATTACGACTTTGTATAGATTAGGTTTTTTTGTAAAAAACAATTTGTAGTAATTTTTTTTTATTTATAAATTATTTTTGAATTTAAATTTCAAATTTTTTCTATTTTTAATTTTTTTATTATTTTAAAAATTCATTAATTAAATTAAAATCGAATTAAATAATTAATTTATTAAAATCGAATTAAATCGAATTAATCGACGTAAATTCGTCGTAAATTTACGTCGATCTAACGTCGAAAAATTTAACGACGAATTTACGACGACTACCTTTACGTCGGATTTACGTCGAATATTTACGACGATTTAACATCGATAATTAAAAATTTATTTTTCCCTTAATTGAAATTCTTCGTCTCCTAATCGTTGTTAAATCGATGTAATTTTACATCGATTTTACGTCGTTCTTATGATGGAGTTATTTCGTTGTACATCCGTTGGAAATTTTACGTCGCATTTACGACGAATTGTTTCCGACGATTTTACGACGATTTTCCGGAGTTGGTAATTTTACGACGATTTTACGACGATTTGGGTTTTACGACGATCGTTTTACGACGAATTGTAATTCGTCGTTAATTCGACGTAAATGTTCTTTTACGTCGAATTTACGTCGATATCTGCCGACGTAAAAGCCAATCTTTCTTGTAGTGTTTATATAACTTCATTAAAGGGCCACATTTGAAATTTAGCCTAAGGCCTCTAAATTCCTAAGCACGGCACTGCACAACGGGCAAGTGTTTTTGCGTTGAAGCCACTCAGAGAGACAGCGAGCGTGGAAGACATGGGAACAGGTCATGCGTGTAGGGACACCATGCTTTTTGGGATTCGAATATGAGAGATTGTCGAGACAGATTGAACACGGCTCCGTTTCCATACTCTTCAGTTCCTCTGTATTCATCTTACTCCCTAGTAAAATAATCCTCGATATTTCATCCTTGTCGATGTTAGGTGGAGGAGAATCATAGTTAACTGCGACGTTCCGGTGAGTAATTGTGACGGGGATGATCAAGGTTAAACGGTCAAAAAATAACTCGGGAATATCCATGTTTGAAAACGAAGATTCCTAGCAAAATTCAGAAGAGTGATTCAGAAATTCTGAGAGAGAAACAGAGGAGAGAGTGAGAGAGAAATTATGGAAAATCAATCGAGAATGGATTGTGAAGCTTAGGGTTATGTAAATGAGATATAGATAAGCGTTGCTAATTGTGATTTTTTTTTTGTTTCGCGCTTTTAGCGGTCATATATCGATCAGTTTCCTTTTTTTAGGTTTTGTTATAAAGTTTCCTTTTTCATATCAACTAGTAAGAAATTTCTTTTTTTTTTTTTGTATGTGATTTAGGTTGAAATAAATATCTTTGGTGTATACACTACAAAAAATGTGGGTATTAATAACGGTCGTTCAACGCTATTTATCACATAACATAGCGTTTTCTTAAACGCTCTGACAGCGCCCGTCATTGTAGGTCAGACACTTTAAATAGCGTTTATAGCGTTTATTGCGTTGCTATTGTTATTGTTTATAATAGCGTGTAATAATTGTTATGATTTGATTGTACGTATACCAATTGTTTTACAAAGATAACAAATATTTTGTGTTATTAAATTATTTTATAATAAAAATAATTATTTTTAATAATAATAATTAATTTTAATTAAATTAAAATATATTTTTGTAATATTATTTTAATAATAATAATTTAAAAAATAATTTCTTATTGAAAATACCATTAAACATTTCCATGTTTACAAATCCAAAATCATCAACATCCAAAATCATCAACAACCAAAACCAAAAATCATCAACATTATCCTATCAATCAACCACTAATAACCCTTCACAATCATCCCTAACATAAACACTATCATCATCAGAATGTTCACCATCGAGATCTTCAACTTCTGGTACAGGCAAAGGCGCAGAACCTAAATCCTCCTTTGTTTCCAACTCATGATAGCCTCTAGGTGGTGCTCTCATAACAACATACCAATTTGAAGAATCATCTTCCCTAGAGTAGAATACCTGTTTCGCCTGAGAAGGTAGAATGAATGGAACTTTCAAATATGCTGCTTGGTTCATATGAAGATTCACAAGAGTGAAGCCATCTTCTTCCTTCACACCATTCCTTAAGTTTGCCCAATTGCATCTAAACAGTGGTACTTTGAACATGTGGTAGTCTATAAGTAGAATCTCCTTTATCACTCCATAATATGTAAGCATATCAGCTACTTGTCTTGTATTTCGTGCACTTGATCTACACATGCTAAATGCTTCATAAGTGACTCCACTGTTTTGTGTCTTCCGCTTAACTGCATCTGTATGAAATCGCTGCCCATTAACGATGAACCCTTTATGTGATAAAGCGACATTTCTAGGTCCAAATGCCAACCATTTTGTCTCCTTGGAATGTCCTTCAGTTGTGTCTGAATGAAACTGATGGAGAAAAAACGCAAATTTCAGAGCAATCAGTTTTCTAACTTAAAAATCTGAACATGAACATCAAGTAATCAAACTGTATATTCAGTAAAAAAAAAAAAAACTGAAGATGATCATCAAGTAAACAAGGTAACAAGATAACAAGCTGTACATTTACTGAAATGGTAATCAAGAAGAATGATGAGGACAACCTTTTTTTTAACCCATTCTGCAAACTGCTCTGTATAGTTTTTCCACAACAAAATTTCATTTTTTGCACATCGAGCATCAGTAGCTTGTAATTCTTCCAAATGCATCCTGATTTACGATAAACAATTATTATGAAAATGAAGTAATCATTTTAAATAGCTGAAAATAAATGGTAACCTCTTACCCAACATATGGTTCCATACAAGCCATGTTCATTAGCACATAGCGATGTGCATTGTCTCTATCTTTATCAGAAAGGGTGACCTCTTTACCCTTCTGCAGAGGCCGGCCTTGAAGCACCATCCTATCATCGTCAATATCTTTATTACGATTAGGTCTTTCTTGAACTGGTACTGAATCTTGAAGGAGCTCTAAACAAAATGCAATGCATTCTTCAGATAAATACCCCTCAGCCATACATGCTTCTGGCTTTGCATGATTCTTAACATAAGCCTTTAGTTTTTTCATGTACCTACAATTCAGTCAAGATATATGAAATATTATACTAACATTAGTTGAGGAAATACATACAGTAGTGAAGTAATTGAGTACATCAAACCTTTCGAAGGGATACATCCAGCGGAAGTGTACTGGTCCTCCTAATCGTGCCTCTTTTGATAGATGTATTGGAAGGTGGAACATGATATCAAACAGGGATGGAGGGAAGAACCGCTCCATTTGACACATTGTTTCCACAAACTCAGTCTCCATTAATAAAAGTTTCTCCGGGTCAATGCTACGCTGGCACAATCTGTTAAAGTAATTGCATAATCTGGTAATGGCAATCCTAGGTCCTCTAGGTAACAACCCTCTTAACGCAGCTGGTAACAAGTTTTGTACTAGGACATGATGATCATGCGACTTCAAACTAGCTATATTAGGAGGGCTAAGTGAAATGCAATTAGCAATATTACCACAATAACCATCAGGACCTCTAAACATAGCTAACCTTTGGCAAAAAATGGTCTTCTCTTTCTTGGATAACCAATAGGCTGCTGGAGGTAAGTATGTTTTCTTTCCCCTAACCTCTGCGTGTAAGTGCTTTCTGATTCCAATATCTTCTAAGTCTTTTCTTGATTTCAAACCATCTTTCGACTTGGCACTTTGCATCAAGGTAGACAATATAGCATCCGAGACATTCTTTTCTACGTGCATCACATCAAGATTGTGACGAACAGGCAATTCCTAAGACAGTACACAATAAACTGTTAGGCATGCATATACGTGTACAACAATCTGAGAATATAGTTTATAGTTACTCTACTTTACCTTCCAGTAAGGTAGTTCAAAGAATATTGATCTCTTCTTCTATCACCATAGATCATTTGATTCTTCACACTCTTCTTCTTCAACCAGCTCATCATCTTCCAAATCTGTTTTTTTTCTTTTTCTTTCCTTATGTAGAGGTCTTTCAAAGTCATTCCTAAACGCCTTTACTGTCTCATATATTTCAGAACCTGTCTGTATCCTATTGGCACTCCCAAATTCAACAGTGTTGTCAAACCAGCCTTTTTTATATCTGTAAGGATGGCCAGGCGGTAGTCTCTTTCTATTTCCCATGTATACATGCTTATGGCTAAAATTAATCCACCTACAAGGAGTATCCTTTCCACAGACGTTGCAAGCTTGTTTCCCCTTCACTTTACATCCAGACAATACTCCCAAGCCTGGATAGTCAGTGATACTCCAAAGCAATATGGCTCTTAGTGTAAAGTTCTCCTTTGCAAATGAGTCGTACACTTCAATACCCTCAGACCACAAATCTTGTAAATCTTCAATCAATGGTGCTAAGTAGACATCTATGTTATTACCAGGAGCTGTTGGACCAGGGATCAGCAAAGTTAACATTATATTGTCAGCCTGCATACACATTGTTGGAGGCGTGTTGTTCACCAACAACACTGGCCATGTGCTGTGATTGGTGTTTTGCAAGGAGAAAAGGTTCATCCCGTCTGTAGAAAGTCCAAGTCTAAGATTCCTTGGTTCTGCAGCAAAGTCTGGCCATTTGTCATTAACTTGTGCCCAAGATATAGAATCAACAGGGTGTCGCATTGTACCATCTTCAGTGCCATTTGTAGAATGCCAACGCATATGCTCAGCCATCCTTGTTGATCTAAACATCCTCCTAAATCTGTCTTTGATTGGAAAATATCGAAGGATCTTCGCTGGAATCCCTATCTTCAGCTCATTACTGTGCTTATCCTTCTCCCATCTAGAAACTTTGCATCTTGGACAGCTTTCTAGCTTTTCAAACTCCTTCATATACAGTATGCAATCATTCTTATAAGCATGAATATTGTCGTAGCCAAAACCGAAGACCTTCAGAAACTTTTTGATTGCGTCTGTACTCCTCGGAAGAACATTGTTTTCAGGTAGCATATCTTGAATTAAAACCAACAGCTGATCAAAGTAGTTCTCAGACAAACCACTCTTAACTTTGATTCTGTAGAGTCCCATGATTGCTGCAACCTTTGTGTATTTGACACAAGTAGAGTACAATGGAGTTTCAGCTTCTCTTAACTTTGTCCTGAATTCAGTTTCGTCTACAGCTTCATTCTCTTCAGTGTCATGCGTCTTACTTGGATTACCTTCACCTATACAAAATGCTGTCTTTAGCAATTCAAAAGCCTCAGTTTCAGATCCAGGAGCAATATCTTCTGTATCATCTCTTTTCTAACCATGAATACTCCAGCAAGAACTCTTATACTTCATATACATACCCCTAATGACTAGATGCTCAACAATCTTATCTAATAACTGATGGCTTAAGTTCTGGCAATCTCTACAGGGGCATAGCATTTCAGACAGATTACCTAATCTTCTTGCCGATGAATTCACGAAATTAGTTGCTCCTTCTGAGTACTCAACAGTATTCCTACATGTTAAATAAAAGTTAGACAAACAAGATAAGGCGAGATTGAGAAATATAAGTGTAAGTGTTAACAAGATCAAACCTTGGCAGAAAAATCCATGCCTTGTCCATATGAAAACGACTGAGATCGAGAAATTTCAGAGATTGTGTTACGAAGAATGTGGGATAAGGCGAGAATGACAGATCGAGAGATTGTGTTGTGAAGAATGTGGGATAAGGCGAGATTGACAGATCAAGAGATTGTGTTGTGAAAGATTGAGTTACTTTTTTTCTCCTCGCCGCCAAAAATATTTCAGACAAATTTTTCGGAAATTCAGCTTTTCCCGGTTAAACTCGTTCATCAGTAAAGAATGGCTCAGATCAGAGATGCAAAAGTGGAGAGAACGGCTCAGATCAGAGATCAGTAAAGAACAGCTCATATCTAACGGTGTAGAAAAGGCCACGTCTGCGATCTGCGTATAATTGATTCATTGACTAATCTATTTATACCAATTTTTATGTTTTAAAATTGGTTTAGAGAATTAAAAAAAATACATATATAATCCAAAAA